TCCACACTCCTCACTCCACACTTTACACTCCACACTCCACACTCTACACTTTACACTCCACACTCTACACTCCACACTTTACACTCCACACTCCACACCCTACACACCACACTCTACACTTTCCACTCCTCACTCCACACGCTACACTCTACACTCCACACTCTACACTTTACACTCCACACTTCACACTCTACAATTTACAATCTCCACATTCCACACTTTACGCTCTTCACTTTACACTCCACACTCCTCACTCCACACTTTACACTCCTACTTTACACTCCACACTCCACACTTTGCACTTTACACTCCTCACTCCACACTCTACACTCCACACTCTACACTCCACACTCTACACTTTACCCTCCATACTCCACACTCTACACTTTACACTCCGCATTCTACTCTTTACACACTCTACACTCCCCACTCCACACTTTACACTCCACACTCCTTACTTCACACTCCACACTCCACACTCTACACTTTCCACTCCGCACTGCAGACTGGTAACAAGGGAAACATGCACAAGACTGTTCAAATAAACTATTGCAGAAAGGTTTTGTGCGTGACTGCATAACCATGTGTTTTGACATTTGTACCATTAACATACGTGTGAGCATTCGGGTTCGTGGGCTTCATCTTGTTGATTTGGTATTTAAACATTATTAGATAAATGGTAATCATTTCCTCTTTGATGCTAAAACATTTCAATGATTGGTCCCCTCCTGGTGGATCCTGGTGGAAAGTGCATGGATCGATATCATTCTCCGGCGGTTGGAAGTCAAGTCTTGTGGACAATCTGGGAGTGGATATAATTGGATATAATGGAATATTAATGGGGATATATATATATATATATCTACTATATATATATTATATAGTGTATATATAGATATAGTATATATATATCTATCTACTATATATATATATATATTATATAGTGTATATATAGATATAGTATATATATTATATATAATATAGAATACATATTATATATATATACATAATATAATTATATACATATATATATATAGAATATATATATAATATACATATAATATAATTATATACATATATAATTGTATATATACAAAGAATATATATATAATCATATATATATCATCATATATATATAATCATATATATAATCATATATATAATCATATATATAATCATATATATATAATCATATTTATATAATCATATATATATATATAATCATATATATAATCATATATATATAATCATATATATAATCATATATACAATCATATTTATATAATCATATTTATATAATCATATATATATATAATCATATATAGTATATATATATATTGGGATATGAATGTTTAGATATATCAGAAGGACCCGTTGTACGTCCGTGCAAAGTTCAGGCTTGGGGGAATCCATCCCTGGCTGACGTCCCAGTCGTGAAGTGTTGAGGCCAAATACCCAGATGCCGAGCTGGGAAAGCCTCGCCCTGACACCAGCACTTTGAAGGCTGCTCTGAAGGCCGGGAACGTCGTTTGGAGTTTTAGCAGTTGAAGACCCACAAAAACATATGGGGGTTGCCTGAAATTGGGATGAATTCCAAGTGGTTTGTATCATCGAAACCGCTTTTTGTTGTAATTTACATGTTAAATGGGCATAAGACGAACAAATTGCCACGGAAACCAGAAACACATGGATTTCAGCCAAAAAAAAACTTCAAGAGGATTTGACCAATGAACATGAGTTGACCAATAAACATGTGGATTCAAACAACAACAGTAAGGTAAAATAACACGTACCCTCTGGTAAACTAACATAACCATTGAAAATCATCACTTTGAATAGGTAAATCAACCAAAAATGGGTCATTTTCCGTAGCTATGAGAAATTTTAGAGGATAACACTGTGACACCAACAAACCATGTCATAATGCAGTTTTTTTTGCGGATTCCAATGGGGATGGTCAAGGTATTATTGGGGCCAACCGATGGACCATGAGACTATGAATAGGAGGGGTTTTTGACCATGATAAATTGGGGTTCAACATGATTAAACCATCCATGGAATATGCATAATATTATATAATCTTATATACTATATATATATACAAGTAAATATACATATATGTATGCATATATTATATATATATATCTACACATATGGCAGCCGATCGTAAATGCAAGTCTAAGACTAATAATTATGAAAGGGCATGTGTTTTTCAACACCCACGATTGAAAACCCTGCATCGCGATTCATCGGCGATTGGTTCGTGATTGAGACAAACATTTGTTGTACGAGAATCAACTATTGTAAGAGGAGAAATCAATATGATAATATGGCATGATATGTTGTTTTCGGACCGACAGAAAATAATAATCAGAACAAAGTTCAAAGTCTAAGAAGCTAGCTCAATTCAAATTTCTAATAATGTCGATGAATTCGGAGATTGGTTCGCGGTTGATCGATGGTTGAAGCTGCACCAGATACCCTTATTTTGATCAACACCCATATATATATACATACTGTATTTAAAATAGCCAATGTGATTTTAATATAAACTGGGTCAGCAAACTGGATGGATCGTGTTGTACTTTCATATTTTGCCAAAAATGGCGATATAGAACCAGTTTGGCAATGATGTGAGGGTGGGTTAAAACCTATGATACCATATTTGGTGAGGACGCACATCCTGATCCGTAGCCTAATATAAGTTTGGGGCACATCATCACCATGGATGTTTTCAGGTTGGTGGCATGTTCTCATTTGAACAGATTGTAGGTGATATCATTCATATGGGGATGGATGGCTTATAGTGGAAAATCCGATCTATGAAAATGGATGATGGAGGGGTATCCCTATTTTAGGAAACCTCCATATAAGTCAAATGCCCTATGTTTTTTCCTAACATTTTCTGGTTCAGTTGCAACTGGGCGGCTCATTTCCCAGGTCCCATGCGCTTATTTTGGCTGATTTGGGCTTATTTTGGCCCAGGCCCAAAGAGTAAAATCTGCACTCTCCATTTCAAAAAAATGCAATGTGGATCATCTTACCATCTGGTTATTTAACATAGCCATGGAAAATCCCAACCATAAATGGAGGTTTTAGTGGGAAAATCATCCATAAATGGGCCATCTATACCATGGCCCATGGCTATGTTACAAATAACCAGAGGGTAGCAGAACCCCCCGGGAAATCTGGGCCACTTGGGACCCCAAAACCAGAGTTGACCTTCGTTTCACCGTTTCGCGATGAAACCAGGCGGGCTTAGCGTTGAGCTCGGGACGATATCCCGTGTACACCGAGAAAAAGACCAACTTCTACGAGTCCGAGCCGCGGCAAGACGCCGAAAAGTGTTGCTGTTGGTGTGTTGGGAGATGAAATGATGGGGGAATTGAAGATGAGTTTGCGATGTATGTAAAAATTAAGTATGTACCGTACTGAACATATATATATATACATATATGTATATGATATATACATTCAAATGAAATATGTTTAAAATGGATGGGGTAGTCAAGGCACTTGGCAGACTGTAGACAGTTTTCAGGGGTTAGAGCTTTTCCCCAGTGTACAGTTAGTAAGTCGTCAGCAAGCGCAATAAGTTCATTCAAAATTTCCGAGGAAGGCCATTGATACCCAGTTCACCTTCTGTTTGCCCCAAATTCAATTGGTTGAGAGTGGGAGTAGCAGTGGATGATTGTGATCTCCAAAGAACCCGCTGGTAAAAGCATAAACAACCATCAAGCAACGGGTGTTAAGGATCGCTAAGGGTCATTGATCTTGTGAAACCCATGGGTTTCTGCGTCCAAAAGAAACCCAAGTATATGGATGTTCCCAACGTGGAGAAAACGGCAAAAAAAATACGTTTGTTTCAAGTATCGTGAATTCAAAAATTGGCTTGAAATATGTTGACTTGAAACTGTGACACTTGAACCCGACGTATAATATATATATATATATATATGATATATATATATATTTATATATGATATATATATGATATATATGATATATATATATATATATATATCATGATATGTATTTATATATACAAATATATGTTGTTACAACATGAAATCAACCGTGGCTTGCTGGACAAAAAAACGAGACAGTCCATGATGTGTCGAAGCCCAGGATGGCGATGGCCGCAAACCCGAAGATTTTGTTCCCCTGATCCACGTGGATGAGATTTTCTTGACCCAGCGAGGACCGACTCACGGAGCGATGTGTCACGTCACTTTGGATGTGGGTTAACACCACAGTTGGTGAGAAAAAACAGATATACTGATGATATAACAGTTGTGTGATACAATGTGATTTGATTTCATGTTTTTACAATGTAAAGGAGTACCTGATGCGATATGGTGTCGTATAACACAGTGCAATTTAAAAGAACAATTACTATATATATATACATGATTTCATTTACACTATTTCGTATACGTACACTATGTCGTATGCAACAATATACATAATGGTTGATTTATACTCTCATATATATATTTTAATATATGTATACATCATACATGTGGTATAGTTTATGCATGTTTACATGCATATATCCGACACATAAACATAAGATATAAGACATAACATAAAACAATAATTATTTTGTTGTCTTACACTACACGTACCAGTACATTGAATAACATACATAGATATGCAATGTGTACGACAATGAATGCATGTATACAATGTGATGTAACGCAACGTGTTGTAATGTCATGTCATGTCATGTCATGTGATGTGATGTGATGTGATGTCATGTCATGTCATGTCATGTCATGTCATGCGTGTCGTTTCGTGTCGTGCCATGCAATGCAATGTAATGTGATGTGATGCGATGTGACGTACTGTGTGTACGCACTTGCGTACGTATGTAACATGTGTATTATGTTTCATGATATACATACAGTATCAGTATATAGAATTGAATAGATCTTATCTACTATATATCTCGTACAATATAATATTGTGTGTAAGTGTACATACACCATTATAGGACATTATAGGCAATTTGTATTAGATATTAGTAAAGGTAATACTCAAGAACTATTATGATAATTATATAGTATATAGTTTAAAGTTTATATTTTGCATATATATATATACATGCTACCCCCCCCAGCAATGCCTCCACACAGGTGTTCAATCTATGCTTTTACATTGTTTGGAAACATTGAGAGTCAACTGGCAGATGACCAAAGAGATTGTGGGCAGTGTGACAAGAAAGTATTGAGCAACGAGTGTCTAAGTTACAGTTTTCCCTTGTGATTGACCAGATGGGCCCTGGACAATGAGACAAGATGTTTTTCAGCAGCAATTGTCTAAATTGCAGTTTCTGCATCTTCATTGATCAAATGGTATGTGCCACGGTGGGATGCGAAGTTTTGGTGCAGCTATTACACATCAATGAAAGGTATTTTACGCTGCCGGACACTACATTTGCCACGATTCCAAGACTAGAGTTCAGATCAAGATTTTGCTGCTGTGAACACGACAGAAGGATGGTGCTAATGTTCAAAACGCCACTACTCAACGAGATTTCCAAAGGCCACAGCCTAGATATGCATCTGCTCATGTCACACCTGTGCAAGTGCAGCACCTTGGCTTTCGTTTGATGCATGAACATTACTGTCATTTCTTTGTTTGCAAACAGCTGCTCCTCTAGAAAAGACTTCTGAGAAGTGTGTATGTGTGCTTCCACAATGAAAAGGCTTAAAATAGATGGGCATTTTCACCCATACTTGAGACACCGGGTGTCAACTCTTCCGTCTTGAGATGCGTGTATACTGTCCACAGTTTTTTTGTAACGGTCTTTAAACAGCATGCTGTTTCATGTCAGACTACTTGTGAGGTCTTCCACCGCAGAATCCGGTAGGGGATCGGCTTGTCAGACTTGAAAATTCTGAACGCCAAGCCCCAGTGGATTGAAGATTGAAGATTTCTCAGGGGGCTTGTCCAGAAATCCAAAGTATCCAAAGCTCTGGAGAAATCCCATATCAATCCTATGAAATCATCTCATGGATCCCATGGAAAATTCCCATCTGCCGCAGGAGAAGACGCCCACAGCGTGAACTTCAGCGCCATCTTGGCGCTCCCCGGGCGCCGCGCGCTCTACATGGTGGCGCTACTGCGGGGCGATCCTGAGCGCCCTGGCCATCACAGGGCGCTGGAGATCTAAAGTTTATATATATATATACGTATATGATCGTATACGTACTGTATGTATCAGAATTTACACTGTACTCTATATATAAACATATATATATATATATGTATACATATATATATATATATGTATATGTACTCTATATATAAACGTGTGTATATATATATATATGTATAACTATGTATAGATATAATTATATATTGTATGTTGATTTTTTCATATATTATTTATTATACATGGGGTTTATCGCCAATGCCATCAAGCGCATCCCCGAGATTGACATAAACGATATAAATGGATGGTAAATATCATCCTGTTGTCCAGCTGGGACGGTCTATGGATATCATCAAGCTTCGATGCGAGGGGGGCAAGTTTTGTGGTTTCTCCAAAAACGTTGGGAAATGGCCCATAGAAATAGATGGTTTATCGAACTTATAAATGGGTGGATCTTTCCATGGCGAACTGTTAAATAACCAGAGGGTAATAGTTTTATAAAGTATTCCTTTGGATCTTTACATATATACTTTGAAATTATATGAATATATATATATATATTGCCAGAATCAATCTGGATATTATGATATATATAATATTTATGTGATATGCAATGTGATTCTGGCATTGTCTTCTTATATCCCATTATAACTTCTAATCTAACCCATCACATACTGCGTGACTATGTATATACATGTATATATATAACATGCAGGATGGGCCCCCGATTGATGTCCATTGGATTTTGGTCAGATTATCCCAGAGCACCACCGTTTGCAACTGCTGATTCGGATTTCAGAACCATCCACCGTATGTTAATCATTAAAGGATCATCCAGTGAAGATTGATCGGTTGTACCTGGGGTATGACAGAGGGCTTACCCTCTAATAATCGAACACGATGGGCTTGAAAATCCATGATTTATGAATCGTTTAGTTGTTTTTTTTCCAATTTTTTCCCATTGCATAATTGATTTTCCTTATTTGTCCCATTAGAATTAGAACCTCCATTTAGTTTGTGGATTTTCAAAAACGTGCCGTGTTTGATGACGCTTATCGCGGCGTTGGGAGTTTCCAGAAACCGGCAGGAAATCCTCGTGCTGTTTCAATACCGTTTTGGTCAGGATTCCTATTGTGGATGACCATAAATCATAATTTATAAATATATTGCTCAGCCATTATGGCTGATTGTTGGTTCTTGTATATGAAATGATATTCCGATTGTATTCCTATTTCATATTTCCATGAAATCTCATGACATCTCATGAAATCTCATGACATTGTTGGTGCCTGAGTCCCCACTTATCTTAAGTTCCCATAATATTCATGGTGACATATGATGTTGTTTGTTGATGTGCTAATATCATGGTATAATATATATATATATATTGATTGTGATGTCTATGCATATATATATATATGAAATGTCTCAACCATACATGTTGAATATCCCCTTGGTTGAGATATGTCATATCTATCTATCCATCTATCCATCCATCTATCTATCTATCTATCTATCTATATTCACATTGATGGTGAAATAAATATTGATGGTATAGAATGGGGATATATCCTTAAACAGTATTGATGGGGATATATCTTTCACCAATACAAAAGGATCGTGACGTATCTGTTGCTGATGAATATCCCATTGATGGTGAAAGACCTCTTCCCAGGGCTGCAGCCAAGCTCCACGCTGCCATGAGTGCCTTGAGATATCTTGAGATTTTATACGAAGCAAAAGGCGATTGCTGGAAACAACTGGAAAACAATGATGGAACATGTTGGATACCCTCTGGTAAACGTTTACAAAAAACTATGGAAAAACACCATTTTATAGCTGGGAAAATCCACTATTTCTATGGTGATTTTCTATGTCGCAAACTGTAAGTCATTACCATGTTGGATAATGCTGGAACATTGAGATTCAACATGATTCAACCAACAAAGACAGGTATTCAATTCATGGACAAAAAGGATAGCTACGCTACTGGGTGAGTGAGTTTGAGTTTCTGGTGATGAAATTTTTGTATCTTGTTGGATGGGATGATGGGATTGTAAAAACCCACAAACACAAGGGTGGCTGGGTCACCACCTCAAAAAGACATGCTTCGGAACACTGTATCGAATGATGTTTGTTTTCAGGAAGGTAAACCACAATATATACCTGGAAAACTGTACGGCATTTTTTTTTGTCCACTACTGGGTTTTACCCGTAGCGGACGTTTTTTTGTTCAATTGCGTATTTTGGTGATTGTGAAGGGTTGTTCAAATCCTTTGACAACACCGGGCTCGGACATCCTCCGACAGTCTCCAAAAGAGGAATTTCAGCCCGACGTGGAGCAAATTAGGAGTCGCGATAGGGTACCCAAATCTGGCCACAAATACTGCCATATTTCCCACCAAATTTGGATATACCCATAAAATGCTAGTATTTTTCAGAACGGTACCTCCTGGGAGTGCAGTTTTCCCATGACTTAAGACAATATTTTAAGAGGTTTTACTGCATTCACAGATGCATTCTTACACATCAATTTGACTCAGGCCTCAAATTCTTACTTCCATATTCTTTCAAGGGTTGCCCCAAAAATTATTCCCATTTTCTTTGGAAGGAGGCGACACTCCAACAATCAACAAAAATCTTGGGAAAGCTAGAAAAAAAAAACAGTGGAAAACCCCCCCAAACAAAAAAACAAAAACAATATTTCTAGACTCTTTGGAGAGGGGGGGGTCTAGACAAGGGGGGGTCTAGACAAGAGTCCCTGTTCTTTGTTTTTTTTTGTTTTTTCCAAGTTTTTTTCTTTCTCTGTCCCTGTGATTTCCTGCTGTTGCGAATTCGGTCGGATTCGCAGGGATCATCATTTTGTTCTTGCGGCAACTTGCATAGCATGCCGCACTGTTGGAAAACAATGGTTTCGTAAAGTGCTGCTTATGGTTCAGAATAGCTTTTCAAAATGATGCTTGACCTTGACTTGACTTTCTGCAAGGATTTTTTTTTGTGATTCTTGTGAAAAAATGACCATTCCATGGAGTCATACTGCACTTTCTTACAGAAACATCACCCTCTTTCCAAGGGATTGCTATACACATATATCTGAAAAGGTTCCCTGAACTAGTAGTACAAGAACTTAAACAATGCCATACTCTTTCACAAGGACTGCTCTGTGTCCTGAAGGCTACTTTCTCAAAGGAATGCCATACACTTTTGAAAGCAACACTGTGTATACATGTAAAAACTATTGTCATATTTCAACAAATATCATATAGTGAATTATGTTATCTTAAAATTATGTTATATTTTTCCATTTGAATGCTGTTTCTGTTGTCGAAGGAAGATTGCCTAACACCATTGTTCAAGCCAATATATTTCATGAAATCATCAAGTACTTTGTTAAAGGAATGTCGCACTCTTGAACAACTAATGTGTATATTCAGTTTTTATCTTAGAGAGACGCTTCCCTTATCTGAAATAGCACTATCTCTATGGAAGACATACCATATTTGTTCCAAAATATATGGAAGGCATGGTGCACTCTTTCTAAAGGAATGCTGTGCACATCTCAGGGCTCTGCTTCACACTAATGATGCACTTTCTCAAAGGAATGTTGCCCTCTCTGTGCCTTTAAAATCTGAGTTGATACTGTGTTAAAAACATATATAAAAAAACACTAGTTTTTTTTGAAGAGAACAGCATGTTTATCCTTATAAAACATTCCATATCTCTTTAAGATGCAGGAAACTCTGTCAAGAAGATGCAGTACTGCTTGGAAACAAAATGAAATCTCCTGTCAATCAAAAGTATTGTTTCCTCTTGTTCATGCTTTGCTATAAAGACATGCAGCATACGTGGCGCAAACACCACCCTATCGTTGAGCGTGGCGCAACCGGTCAAAATTGAATTCCATGTCTCTTTGATATTCATTGATTCCATGCAATATTTCATAGATTTTCATAGCAAAAATGGCTACAACATGTTTCTACCAAACCGAATTAGCCCAGGTGATTGACGGGTTTGCTTTCAGGTCCTTGTAGTTTATTTTTGCCTAATGTAGAAATTTGGATATGTACCGTATACACACAAGACTTGAAGCCAAAAGTTCTTACACATTACACAATACATACCTATATATGTATATATATATATACATCCTTTTAGTAACTGGTACGCCTCACAAGTAAGACAAACACAAACAGATGTTTGAAGTGACTCATTTTCTACATTATTCAATACATTAAACTTTAAACTTACCAAAAAGCGCACTCCCACAAAGACCCGGACTCTATTTTTTCAACATCATGTTGAAAAAAAAACAGTAAGCAGATGTCAACATACTCACCCAAATCCCAAATACTGTCTCTAGACGAGACACTCATACTATCGGAACCAGTCCGACAAATCCAAAGTTTGAGGAAAACTATTGACCTGTAAGTAGAGCGTTTGCAGCCGGACATGGCCATATTTCGAAAAAATAAAAAAACGTAATGGACAAAAAACATGTCAATGTCCAAACTCGTATGGACAGACAATTTTGTCTTTATGGTCTTCCAGGTATTATATATATATAAATGTATAAATTTATATAATACACGTATATAATATGTATCTATGAATATGGTTTAGCATAAACGACTGGGTTTTTATTTGTGTGAGAAAGCAACATCAAGTTGGGGATGCTCCATGTTCGAGAGAATGGGATGGCCATGCTGGGAGGATTTCAGACATGGGAGTGATCAGTTGGGTGTGAAACACTTCAGGCATTTCAAGCCGGCCTGTGCCGTAGTCACTACCCTCTGGTAAACTAACATAGCTATTGAAAATGGCCATTTATAGTGAGTTTTCCCATTAAAATGGTGATTTTCAATAGTTATGTAAACATTTACCAGAGGGTAGTAGTCAGAGCCGCCCTTGGTTTCTGAGGTAATTTGACCATAAAGATGGAACAGCAACTTCACATCAATCTGCCGGAATTCCACATCACCCACAAACGCACCTCGGATCCGCGGGTTATCCCGACTGGTAACTGGGCAAACTGACACCACTCGGGCCTAGGGTGAACGTTATTTTTTTTTGAACATGGCCCATTTGTGGATGAATTACTTACTACAATGGCAATTTTCTACATCTATCTGAGTTTGTTTCAACGTACTGACCAGTTACTCAGTAGGACGATGCTTCCAAGTAGTGCGTTTTGCCAACTTTGTGGTTGGTTGAGTCCCAACTGGGTCATCATGGATGGTTTTTCATCGTTAAATCCCATGTTCTTCATTTTTTTTTGATGTTCAAATCCCATCTTCTGAATATTCTGAATCTTCACTCATGGTAAATCATGGTAAATCCCATGTTGTTCATCATGTTTGATGGTTCCAATGGTATCATTCTTCATCAATGTTCAACTCAAACCGATGTCTTCATCTCCAGGTTTGGAAATTGTGGGCGATTCCTGGAGAGAAAAGATGACCGCCATGGCCAATAAGGAGTTCAACCTTACAGCACCATGGTGACTGCCGTCATTTTTTTTTTTGAATGTTTCAATTTATATGTCGATTTATCTATTTAATGTGTATATATAATTATATATATATATATACAGTACATATCGCAATATTTATGCACAATTCTTTACATAATATATATATATATATATATATATATTATTGTGAGTTGTGAGCGACTGGAAGCCGGTCACGGCCCGAGGCTAGGGTAAAAGTTTGTGTGCGGTCCTGCACTTTCAGTGGTAGCGGAGCCACGTCCGTGGCCTTAGTTTTTCAGGGTGTCTTACCCTTGGCTTGTGCCTAAACCATGGCGGCCCTTGCCTCGGCGCCGATTGGTTCGCGAGGCTCCTTGGACGGGAGCGAACCATGGACCCCGGACACCCGACCGGGAGCTGAACAACGGCAACAGCCTGAGGTTGCCGTGGAAGAGATGCCGATGCCTGAGTTTGAGGAGGCCAGGCGGAGAAGAGCACGAAGGACCAGAACTTTGAGGTTCAATGACTCGGATGAGTCTGCGATGGGAGATGAATCTCTTAGTGGGGTTCTGGCTTCTTCGAGTTCGGAACTGGTGCCTGGCAGCCCTATGCAGCAGGTTCTACGTGGTCAACATGGCGAACGTGCTGGAGAAGGGCATCGTGATGCAGTTCCCGGAGGAAGTGAAAGTGAGAGCCCAATGGACGACCCATGGCTGACCAATGACCCTTGGAGGAATGAGAACTGGCAGGTGAACGCAGCTGAGAATTGGTCAGAGGCTTCAGGAGAATGGCAATCCTCTCGAAGCTCAGATCATGGGTCGCAGTGGAGTTGGCGATCGTCTCAGTGGAGCAGTCGAAGTTGGCATCGATGGCAAAACTGGGATACTACGTCATCAGAGCGTGGAGACGGATGGTCAGACACCGGTTGGCGATCTGACTGGAATAGGAAGCATGATGAGAATTGGTCCACACTATCTGACGGACGAGCACTATCCCGAGATGAGCATGGACAAGATCGACATTGTGAAGAACTTCAACGAGACGATCATGGACTTTTTGGCGTGAATGATGGAGCCCTTTCCCCGGTGTCACCACAGGCACCTAGGGCGAAGGATCCTGAGAACCGGCCCATGGGAGACGTGCCTAGTGGTGTTCCTTCGGTGGCCGGAAACCAGAGTCAACAGGCAACGGGTACGACGGGGAAGTTGAGCTCATCGTACCCTCCGATCTTCTATGCGAGGCCAGGAGAGAGCTGGGAGCAGTACTGGAGAAGTGTCACCTTTTGGGTGGCCTCAGAAGGCAAGTCATTGCCCCAGGAGATGCAAGGACCCCGACTCATGCAGCAGTTGCGTGAGAGAGCAGGGAAGATCGTGCAGCACTTGACGGTGGATGAAGTTTCCGGAGCCGATGGAATTCAGAGGATCAAGCAGGAAATGGAGAGGAGCCCCATCATCAAGCTTCTGGACCAGAAGAAGGTAGACCAAAGAAGACAGAAGTTCATGAAGCTCACCCGCTTGCATGGAGAATCAACTGAAAGTTTTTTGAATCGCGCTGAGATTTACCGGCGTGAAAACCAGTCTTCACCCGCCTATCAGGTGGGATCGAAGTTTTACATTGGACACCTTTTGGATGCAGCCCGCTTGACCAAGAGGGACTTGGCCTTGGTGAAGGCTGCAAGTCAAGGCACCCTGGAGGATGAGGACCTTGTGACCACATCGCTGATGGACTTGGCAGAGCAGTTGGAGGGCCAACCGGGATGTCCGATTGGCCGTGGCGAACCGACCTTGGACCAGGAGGACAAGTACCTGGTACAGAAGGCGACTACATCATCAAGTATGACCTCTCCCTTGCAGAGCTCTACGGCGACACCTGGCATGAGGAAGAACCGCAGAAAGTTCTTTGGGAGGCGACGCTTCCGAGATGCGCTGATGGCGATCCTTGAAGATGAGGACGGAGCCGATGAGGATGGATTGGACGATGAGCCAGTTATGCCAGATGGCATTGGCGACGAATCAGTTGATGAAGAGGAGGACGACATGACTTCGTTTGGTGGGTCGTCAACGCAGGCGACCTCTGTGATGGAAGCTTCGTCGGCTGGAACTATGTCGTCTACTACCTCTTCTACGGCTTCGACATCAGACGCATTTCTGGCGGAGATCTTCGCACAGGAGTACAAAGCCAGGAATCGAGTGCGTGAGATCAAGAAGATGAGACAGTACTTCCAGAAGGAAGGACATGCACCCGGAGGGCCACAAGGCGACAAAGATCGAGAACAGGTGAAGCGATGGGTGAAGCAGCAGCAGAAGACGGAGCCCTGCTTCATTTGTAGGCAGTTGGGACATTGGTCGCAGGAGTGCCCGTATAGAAACAAGGCACCAGTACATGCGACCAACGTCACATTTCCCACTGGCAACAGACAAGCTGATGCCGACTGGGATTTCCTCCGACAGTGCGCCCAGTCCGAGTCGATGTACAAGGGTGCACCACAGAGGGGGGGGAGGCCTCGAAACACCTTTATGACTACTTCGTCTTCTACATCCATTACCACTAATGAGATTTATTGGTCATTGACGGAGTTGGGGGACAAGATGATTTTGGATTTGGGGTGTATGAAGACAGTGGCAGGGACGACATGGGTCAACCCCCTGGTTTTGAAATGGAAGAGAAATGGGTGGTACTGCAAGGTTGTCTCTGAGAAGGAATCGTTTCGTTTTGGGGATGGGCACATCAACCAAAGCAAGTTTGCAGTGATCATCCATGTGAATTTAGCCGGCATCCCATGTCTTTTGAGGATTTCTGTCGTTGCAGGGAATTGTCCACCATTGTTGTCAAAGCCTGTCTGCACAACATTGGGTCTCATGGTTGACACGTCAGCGCATGCAGTGACATCTAAGAAGTATGGCATCAAAAGGTTTGGACTAGGTCAGTCGGCAGGAGGTCACTCTGTCATTCCGATTGATCAGGTGTCAGACATGCAACCAGTTCCCAGTGATTTCAGTTTGCAGCCGCAACATGAAGTGTTTCCGCTGGTGCCCAGTGGATCAACGGTGAAGGAGTCACCAACCTCGCGCCCCACCGTCCTGACTGCGCACTCGGTGTCGGATGATCGACAACAGCCCATGGGAGAACGTCGGGATGCTGGAGGACGAGACCCACGCCATCTCATCCGACGAGGATCAAGATCCGCAGAGGAGGACGTCGAGAGCAGTCAGACGCAGGGCATCGAGAACTTTGTCGGAGAGCCGACATCGATCACCGAGCAGAACGACCCAGATCCCCAAGGAGATGGTGGAGATGCAGGCACAGATGGCTCAAATGGCAACGATGATGATGGAAATGCAGGAGATGGCAACAGCAGCCAAAGCCAAAGCGAAGAGCCGGAGCAAGGCGGCGGGATCTGGTCAGACCGCCCCCAAGGAGAACAAGAAGGCGGCCCTGACAGGTCGGGAGGCAGATTTCTCGACTCTGTCACATCGCTACAGCTACGACGTCACCTTCAACATCCTCGGCAGCATCACGGAGCAGGCCCTGACGTTCAAGTGGAAGCTTTTGCTACTCATGCTGAGGATGAAACAGGCAGTGGAGGCCGACAAGTCAACCAGGAGGAGATGGAAGAGGAACCCGAGATGGATCATGCACATGAACGGCAGATTCCTGGCGGGACTATGGGGCCACCTGGGCAGCGCCCGACAGTTGTGCTTCAACCCGAAGGTCTACCCGCTGGCTCTAGCCGACACGGAGGAGAAAGAGAGCAAAGACAAGCGCAGAGGTTCCAAGGGGTCCAACTGACGGATCCCAATGCTCCGACGACGGCAGAGCAACGGAGACGCGCAGCCGAGCGGTTGGATGTCGTGTTAGAAGGCCAACATGTCATGGTGGAGACCTACGTCCTGGAGGAGACCTTCATGAGGAGCTACATCAAACTGGAGACCTTTCTGAGGAGCTACATCAAACTGGAGCTGATCGTCTTGGTGGAGACCTTCTTGAGGAGCTACTTCAAAGTGGAGATCTTTGTTCCGGAAGAGCACAGTCTGAGGAGAGGTCGACATTTCAGACAGAGGTCCAACCAAAAGGAAAGAAGATCACTTTGAACAGACGTCAGACGAGAAGCATCCGGCAGGGTGTCCAGAAGGCTCTGCGGATGCAACACCGTATATATGAAGCCGCACAGATGAAGAGGCGGCCTTGGACTTTGCTCGAGGTCTTCGCAGGAAAGGCTACGTTGTCCTCAATGGCCAGAAAATCACCTGGATGGGAAGTACTGCCACCTCAAGATGTACTATATGGACTGGACCTGCTCAAGGAGGAGCACGTGCAGTTGCTGAAAGATGTCATTGAGAAGCAACGTCCAGATGTGGTGACCTTGTCACCTCCATGTGGTCCATGGAGCTCTTGGCAGAGGATGAGGAAGAGAAAGGACCTTCTACAGGCTCTACGTCGTGAACACCAGCCCTTTTGGGACCTTGTGTGCTGGATCTGGGCCTTCCAGAACACGCATGGTGGCATTGTTGTGTTGGAACAGCCCAAGCAAAGTGATGCCCTCAAAATGCCCAAGATGACACGGAGAGAACGTGTGTATGAGAAAGAGGTGCACATGTGCCAATTGGGGTTGGAGGACGTAGTGAGCGGTGCTCCACACAAAAAGGCCACAGCGGTTCAGATGAACCATCCTATGATTTGCACGACGCTTTTTCCTGAGATGAAGTGTGACCATCCACCTGGAGCACATCAACCTCTAGAAGGATCAGTGGCAGTATGGGATGAGACAACGAGAAGGTACAGGGCAGTCAGAAGGTCGACGCTTGCAGCGGAATGGACACCGTCATTCTGCGATTGGTTGTTGGGCGGCTTGGAAGCTATGCAAGAGGAGTCTGCACAGGTGTTTCACCTGGAACTTCATCGGGAAGTACCAAGTACAAAACTGTGGGAGACGGTTCCGACAGAACTGGAGCAGACCCCAGAGGGACAAATCCGACAGCACCTACAGCAGAATGAGTTTGGCACCAGGTATGACTACATTAGTTTTTCAGGGACGGCAGCAATGGTGAGTCGCACGATGAGGTCAACTCTGGCTCACCTTCATGTAGCTTTGGGCCATGTTAGCAATGCCAAATTGAAACGAATGATGCTTTTGAATGGCGCCAAACCGGAGCTGGCCGAGATCATCGACCACTTGGAGTGCCAAATATGCAAGCAGGTACAGAGCCCGATGGCAACACCAAAGGCAGCCTTTCAGCGGCCAATGTGCTTCAATGAACGCATCCTGTCGGACACGTTCTATGTGTGGGATGTGGAGGAGACCAAGTTTGCGGTGACCCACATCATTGACGCCTTTTCGCTCTACCAGATTGCCACGGCGGCCAAGGACCCATCGGCAGAAACCTCGGTCGAGCTCATCCGAGACCGTTGGTTAGGGGTATTTGGCCCTCCTGCGGTCCTCATGACGGATCAGGGCAGTGAGTTCAAGGGAGAGATGGAGCCATTGCTGGCCACTTTTGGAGTATTCCATGAGATGGTGCCCCCTACAGCTCATTGGAGGATGTCATTGGCGGAGCGGCATGGAGCGGTGTTAAAGGTATTGCTGATGAAGATCATCAAGGAGCAGTCCATTGTGGGATTGGGGCAATTGCAGATGGCTGTGGTAGCTGCAACGGCGGCCAGAAATAGCCAAGCCAGAGTCTCTGGCTTTGCCCCTACTCAGTTGGTTTTTGGGAAGGACACCGCCATGCCCACGAACCTCATGGAAGCACTGGCAGGACAGTTTCACTACCAGCTGGCAAGACCTACATCCCCTGAAGACTCCTTCTACCGAGCTAGCCAGATCAGAAAGGCAGCCTCAGACGCCTTCCAGTGGATGGAGGCGAGCGACGCATTGAAAAGGGCAGCAGGTTCCAGAGCTAGGCTGCCCAAACTGGAGTTGCTCACAGAAGGAGCTCAAGTGATGTTCTGGGAACCTCCGGCACACAGGAGAGGTTTGGCACGAAGGCTACAGGACAACATCTCATGGGTCGGGCCAGCGGTGGTGGCAGCAATCGAGAGGAAGGACGGGTCCATCAAGAGAGTTTGGGTCCGGTACAAGAACAAACTGAAAGGTGTCCCTCTCGAATTTGTACGGTTGGCTGTGGCAGAGGAACATGAGGCCACGAGCATAACCAAGGAGGCATTGCAGGAGTTGGCGAAACAATTGGATTCCGGACGAGTCAATGCAGAAGTTCCGGATACATCATCCTCTTCGTCTTCAAGCTCTACTGAGGAAGAGAAAGCTACCAGCAGCCAGAATCCAAAGAAGAAGGTAGTGAAGAGCAGGATGAAGGAGAAACAGAAGAGCCAGGATCAGGTGAGAGTGCCTGATCCTAGATATCCAGTGATGGAGATGAGTGATGAAGAGGATGAAGGAAACAATCCGGTTACGCAGGAGCAACTACGACAGTCAGCGTCGGCATTGGATGATGTGCCAATTTCGATTCATCGTCGTCAGGTACCTGCTCAGGCACCTGTCAAAGGGTCAAGCCAGTCGAGTGCCTCTACCAGACCGATCAAGAAGGCCAGGACACATGACGGAGCTCGAGCAGATCCCTCTACCCGACCTTTTTTGGAGCGTCGCGGGATGTTTGACAAGGCCCTGAACAAGACTGAGGAGCATTTCAGGACTATGAGGCAGAAGCTTGAGCCCAAGACGGTGCAGATTGCGGTGCCGACGCAGACAGAGAATCCAGAGATGATCCAGATTCAGGTGCGCAATGACGATCCGCCGTACATCAACTTGGAGAAGTTCAACAATACGGAGTATTCAGATTCAGATGCAGATCTGATGGAGGCCTTGGAAAGATCCCTCACGACAGAGATGCTACAGCACCTACCTATGGAGGAGTTGAGGTATATGAGGAGAAGACCTGTAGGTGCAGCTGCTGATCAAGGAAGATCAGCATTGAGGGACATCAACGAGGCGGTGTTGGTACGGCATTTGGATAGACGTCGGTACACGCTGGAGTACAAACCGGCATCCCCACTGACGAGGTCCCGGCTACCTCCACCTCCAGGCCACGTCATGAACATCTTGCCGGAAAACATGAAGAGGCCATTGACAGGAGAGAGACAGTGGGATATTCTGCGTCACCAGCGTCGAGATCCACCTCCTCAGAAGGACTACTGGCTTAAGAGCCCAGATGACACAGAGCTCTACAGGATACATGTGGTTCCACGATTTCATCTTTTTGATGTCCTGGCATTTCATCAGGAGAAGGGCCTTAATGACCCTCACGTGGACCCACCACCAGGAATTCCGAAGAGCTGGATCACAGGGGCAAGAACGACCCAGGTCTACTATGTCAACAACCCTCTGGAGCCACGGAACTATACTGGAACGGGTCCAATACCACCGTCGGCGATGTTCATGCATCCAACAGTCGCCAATGCAAGGATGTCGGAACTGATTGCCGACAGTGTTAGATGGACAGGATGGAACACACAGCAGAACCTGTTGGGATACTGGCAAGGCATCACAAGGTTTCAATTGCAAAATCCTGATGAAGCAGAATCTCATTTGGTGAATTGGTTGGAAGCACGCCATTTTGCGGAGGAGACATGGCGTGCAGGTCAGGAGCTGGTACATCAGTATCGAGAACTGCAACAACAATCAGGATGGCCGAATGAAACTTTGATGACTCAATACCTTGCCAGTGACCGAGGTCTCGAGGTTAACCAAGTGATGGACATTGTCAACTTGGCGAAGGATTCCCTCAAGGCGACACAGACTGAGATGCAGGAGATCTTCTTCAACTTTGTCCATGCAACCAATGTGCAGCCACCTACTCCTCACTTTAAATATCAAGGACAAGTTGAACTCACGCATCGTCCTGAAGAACCAGTGGACACCACAAGACCAGAGACAGGGAAGGCACGTTTGGAGTTGCAATGGAACAGCCTTTCACCAATTTGGCAAAAGGCATTTGAACAGCCCATCAAGGACGCGCTGACGCGCTGGAGATTTACTTCAAGCACGATGCGTTGGCGCCCGTGATGCCGGAGGAGGTGATTGACGAGTCTGAGATCCTGCCTAGTCGATTTGTCCTCGTCAACAAGACAGATCCAAAGAACCAACACCCACGAGATGAGGATCTGCCAGACGCAAAGCTCAAAGCTCGTCTGGTGATAGCAGGACACAAAGATCAGAGAGCAGGAGACTTTGAGACGGAAGCGCCAACAGCCAGTCTCTTAGCACATAATCTCTTGTGCTTTCTGGCAGCTCAATGGGCTTGGAAAATGACCTTTGCTGACATCTCGGCGGCTTTTCTGCAAGGCGATTACCTACCTGAAGAGAGGAGAGTGTTTGTCAAGTGCCCCAGGAATTATCCTCTTTTTGTACGACAGTATCTGGCAAGCAAATTGCCAGCAGGGGCCCGGACAGACCTTATGAGGATGAAGAAAGCAGGTTTTGGTCTTGCAGAATCACCGAGATTGTGGTACAAGAGGTTCAAAAGAGGAGCAGAATCCATCGGAGGACGAGAACTACATCTTTGTCCTGGTGTCTTTGCCTTTTTCCAAGGGGGCGGGGTGATTGCCCTATTGGCCGTTCACGTTGACGACGTGAGACTCATCACGGACCCTGTGCATGAGAAGGTCATGACAGAACGGCTCAACTCGCTCTTCACTTTTGGCGATTGGGTCCATCCTGTACAATGGACAAAGTTCTGCGGCAGATATGAAAAGCAGATGCCTGATGGAACAGTCTACATGCAGATGGACCCCTACGCTGAACGGTTGATGGATCCACCACAACGAGCGCATGGACAACAACATCCTCTACTACCAAATGAGCTCAAATGGATCGGCACGTTGTGTGGCCAACTTAACTGGATGGCAAGACAGTGCCGAGCTGACCTCACTTTCGGTGTTTCCAGGATTCAACAATTGGCAGGAGTTGCTGATCCTGCGGCGCTGGTGGAACTCAAACTATTGGTGGAGAGGGCAAGGACTCCAGTCACTGTGAAGTTCGAGAAGTTGGGATGCAAGGTGCAAGAAATGGTGGTGATATGCACCTCAGACGCATCCTTTGCCGGGATGCCACGAGGGAGGTCCCAAGGCGGTTTTGCAATTGGGTTTGCCCATCCTGACATTTTGTCAGGGGATGCACCATTCAATGTGGTGCACTACCACTCCGGACTTCTCAAACGAGTGGTACGTTCGAGCCTTGCAGCTGAGATCAGTCAAGCTGCTCACACCCTTGAGGAAGGAGACTTCGTGCGCGCTCTCTTGGCCGAGATGATCTCGGAGAACTTCGAGCTCAGAATGTGGCTGACACACGTGGCGCAATGGAGGTTGGTGCTGGTGCTGGACTCTCGCACCGGATATGACCTGTTGAATGGGACAGGTCTTGGAGAGGACAAGAGGCTGGCAATAGACATTGCAGCCATGCGCCAAGCTCTCCAAGAAGATGGTGCCGCTCGTCTAGTTCGTTGGGTCCCAGGTGATGAGCTCATAGCGGACGACCTGACGAAGTTGTGCGGCAACCAGAAGCTGATGGCCACGTTGTCAAATGCCAGATGGGCGTTGAAGGACACGGAGGTGGTGAAGAGACTCCGAGCAGATGCTGCCGCTCGAAAGAAGAACTACCGGCAGCGAATCTCAGCCACGAGAGAGGAGGCTGAAACTCAACGAAGGAGTTGAGGAACACTAGCTCCAAAGGGGGTTAGTGTGAGTTGTGAGCGACTGGAAGCCGGTCACGGCCCGAGGCTAGGGTAAAAGTTTGTGTGCGGTCCTGCACTTTCAGTATTATGTTCATGTACAGCTACATAGATATATGTAATAGATAGTCGAATACATAGATTCAGATCATCAAAAACCTGACCAATCTTGCCGGTCCATTGGTGACCCTACGGCTGGGGAATAGCAAAGATGCTGCCATGCGTTATTCCAAACTCAGACTGGCGACTTCTGGAGACTGAATCTGAGTAAATTAGAATAATCTCATGAATATCCCATTACTATCCCATTACTATATGTATGGGTAAATTAGAATAATTCACTCACCTGAATTGTTGGGCCATTTTGGGATAATTCCCCCTATCAAAACCCATGGATTCCAGTGCCAAAACAAGCCGGAGCAGATCCAAGCCATGCAGGGTTTTCTCAGCCCCATAAAAACTATAGACATAAGCCCCGAATCAACCCCAGTTATTGGAGTTGTAAAACAACTATTAAGTGGCTTTTGGGGGTTATATCTACAGTTAAACTTATTCTACATTCAAATATCCCCAGTGAGGTCGTTATTGAATTTGCTCCAATTCCTACATCAAAAATGTCGTGAAAGATCACCTTTTTTTTGTTCCAAAACCAATGAAATCAGACAGAATCCCAAGGATAAATCCCATGGATTTGTTAATGATCCCATTCGAATCACCATCAGGAAATAAACATGTGTGTTAATTTGTTGCTTATACAAATCCCATGTAATAATCTCATTAATCATATCCCATGAAATCTGTTGGTTACTATATAATCAGATGGGAAGATTAAGAATTGATCTGTTGGTTAATAACCCATTATCATCCCATTATAATCCCATTAAATCTCACTGAATCACCATTTAATCACCATTTAGTTGGATAGAATCCCAATCTGTTGGTTTTACCAAGGTTAATCCCCAAATAATCCCCATAAAATCCCATGAAAATCCCAGGAACATCCCATGAATCCCGTGGGTTTTACCAAGGCCTGGATCCCCAAAAAGATCGGCGTGGACAAGATCGGCGCCTACGAGGTGACGCCGCCGCGCTCCGCGCGGAGCCAAGGGCGTAGCCAGCGGGCGGCGCTCGGGTTCCGTGGCCAAAAATGGTGTTTTTTTTCATGGGGAGGTCAGCATGATTTCAAGGGGTTCAACCAGCCTTTTAATGATATTTAATGGGATTTAGTGGAAATTCACCATGAATGTGATTTTATTGGGGTTGATATCATGGGATTTAACCATCAACTTCATAAAAAAATAGTAAGATTTTACAGGATTTAATGGTGATTTAATGGGACTAAATGGGAATAGAGTGGGAAAATGACTCTTTGGTGTCATCAAACATGGCTAAATTTGCGAAATCCTCCAACTAACTGCAGGTTTGGCCATGGGAAACACATCTATAAATTGGGATTCTCCGTTGCAATGTTTGATTCCCTGAGGAGAATAGATATCATCTTTGCCAAAAAAGGAACAAAAGGTGCCAAAGCAGCTATGGGTTGAAGCAACATGAACCAGCGGGAATGATTCAGAATACATCAATAGAATATACCTTCTACTCAACATTGGGATCAATAGCATGGGAATCCTCATTTGTAGACAGTTTGAGGGATGGAATAGATAGGGATTCGTTGCGGGGGGTTAGCCAATCAAAATATGGACTTTAAACAAAAAACACCTGTGGGTTAGCACTATGACGCTGGGTGAATTTGAAGTGATGCTTAGGATTGGGGGAATCACCCAACAACTGACTGTCATTGGTGCAGATGTTCGAGTGTATTGACAATCTGGAAAATCGATAGAAATTCACCGTGAAAATAAATCATTTCGTTGGGGTGTGCCATGGTTGTGTTTAAGAGCTTTGGTATATTTACCTGACGGTAGTGTTGATAAGTTATACCATCACCAACAAGTCATTGTTTGTGCTCTCCGCAAAAAAATGCCGCGAGGAAACTACCAAGAACAAACTGTGCCATCAAAATTTCTATATGAGTATCTTATAATCAATGATGATCGCCATGATATCATAGTCTACAGTCTACAGGTATCTTACAATCCAAAAATGATCAAACGTCTTCAGGTCGCCCCGCCCCCCCAAAAAAACATATTCGCTTCACTGCAGGCTGGGCTTTGGTGCTTTCATTACCATGAGCCTAGTGACTGGGTTGGAGATGTTCAGTGGCTTGCTACCATCAACAAATGACCCGGTGATGGATCTTGTGGTAAACCCAATGTCATAAACCATCCCCAAGTCATCACCATAAATGGCTGGTATTCCAGTAATCCCCAAATGGTAGGGTTACAATGTTTTATGATTGGCTTTGCAACATGAGGTAAATATACCAGACATGGAGCACATGGTATATAGATGTATATAGTACGAGTTCCAAGTACTTTGAAGTGGAATCCATCTACGGCAATATTGGGTCTACAATTGATCGATAATACCCTATGATCTTAATATTAGCATTCGGGTCAAATCTTGCGCGGTAGCAGTTGTCTACTGCATTGTGATCCCACACATGTTTCAACTATAATTGTAGTTATAACATCGCATGATATATATATATACACGTATATAAACAACTATGCTATATATATATGACTATTCTTTTTGTGATTACCACAATTACCATGATTACGTCATCATGACTCATCATGATACAATTTCGTCATCATAGCTAGATGGCCCGTGGCCCAGGCCACCTTCATCGTGGCTCGGAGAAGATTGGGCTACACGAAAGTCGACTCACGACCCGGCATGGACTCCATTCTCCTGGCCGAATGAGGCGATCGAATGAGTGCCATGGCGGCACCAGCACAAGTGAGATCATGGGGCATGGCGCCAGCATGTTTTGTTGGGATATCATGGGGATATACCAACAAAATGACTATTCTGTAATATAATGAACTTATTTGTTTAGTTGATTTTCCTATAATGATGAACATGATGGTCAACCATTGGGTTCAGGGGTACACTATTATCAGAAACTCAAATGGATCACCCTCGTGGGAACATGAACCCTGAGTATAAAAATGATGTTACGGCAAATTCCAGCGTTTTTGGCTCGACTCGGTGAATTAAGTAGCTTTACCCTCTCGTAGTTTTTCACATAGTTTTTTACATAGCTCTGGATTTTATGACCTTGCCCATTTAGTTCGATAATCTGTGTAAATTATAACGACCTCACTGTTCTCCCTCACTGGAATCATGGTTAGTAAGGGAAATCATCCCCAAATGGCCCAACAATTCAGGTTAGTGAAATATTATAATGTACCCAGGATTTTCCAGTTCGCCCGCAGATGTTTTGTCACCAGATGCCCATTGCCATGTTGGATGACCTGCTAATCACTGCGCCTGGTGGTCGAATAACACACAGCTGGTAAACAGACATTTAATGGGAATTTCAGGATCCTAAAATGGAGGTACGTTAGTACCATATTGTTGGCCATATTTTGCGGGGATATTCCCTTACATACTGTAGGCCTTATATAGGCCTTATATATGGTAGGTACCTCCAATTTAGGTTCCTGAAATGGCCATTGAGACATGGCAATGAGGAAAAACAAAAAATGTTGGTGCAACATTGAACATCATGTAATATCATATAATTATAGGTCAAGCATTTTTATATAGGTATTTCATGGTATTTCCATCAAAAAAATGTTGCTCATGTATAGCTGGTTGGTGGTTTGGAATATTTTTATTTCTCTATATATTGGGAATAATCATCCCAAGTGACGAACTCATATTTTTCAGAGGGGTAGGTCAACCACCAACCAGCCATAAATTCCTATAAAATCCTATTGAATCACCATAAAATCGCCATGTATAGGGTATTGCCATGTATTTCCGGTTGCCACGTTCGAAGGTTGCCATGGCTGCTGCCAAGATGCACGCGCCACCCGGGTTTCACCCGCGATTGAAACCGAAACCACGAAATTTGTTTCACGGCGGCGCATCTGGAGAACAGTTGGGGTAGACCATGACCCCAACAATATATATATATATTATATACATAATATGTATATATATGTGTGTGTTTAAGCAAATATGACCATGACTCTATGACATAGCTATCATATATATTATATATATACACCATTGAATTTAATCTATGATAGTATAGTACTATGATGATATATCTACCATTATATATTATTGTGACATTGTCTTGGAATCACTATGACTCACTATGTAATCATACTGTGGTTGATTCAAATTCAGATTGACCATAATTTTGATGTTTTCACTTTGGAGGATCGTTGAAAACTTGAAATATCATTACTTGATGTTTTGTGGATATCATATCCAGATGTCAACAATCGTCCAAATCAATAAGCAATATCTGGATTATCCTGATGTGGCATCGAGATACTCGTAGTCACGGAGTCGGATGAGTCTGCATTTTCTATGTATTACTACTATTTGTTGATATGTTTCTGCTATTATTATCTTGGTTAGTGTTAGTTTTGTTAATTCTTGATTGTTCATAGTCACACACAATAGCTACAGTATTCAGCATTAACTGTGAACTATCACTTTTCTTTGTACTGCCATCATGTTGATTTCTCAAATCATGTTCACATGAGTATGATTATTAAACAATATTAAATCATATATTGACCTTTATTCGTCAAGTACCAGAATTGGACGATGGGAATAACAGCAGGCACACATAGGAAAAACCATGTATTTGCTGGTAAAACACAACGGTTTCCTGTAGATTTTCAATGGAAAAATCCATTGATCAATATTTTAGTGAACATTATTTGTATTATTCGAGCGCTCCTCCTATTCTCCGCGTCGAACCACTGGCGGGTAGGCACGCCGAACAAAGGGAGGCGGCTGACCCGAACAGTGCCAATCGGTGGGTGGTTTTCTATAGCTTGGCACAATACATTTGGTATAATATGGTATAATTCAGTCCATTAAATCACCTTGTTTGTCGCTTAAGTCATCCTGGCCTTGCATGTGAAAACGCCCAAGAGACCACCCGTGTTTTTGCCCTCTCATTGTTGCGGCGAAATGCGGCCATGCTGGGAGGGTGGATGGAGTTACCCATTTTTGCTGGGCATTGTGTTGTTGCATCATGGAGAGCCTCTAGGCAAATAAATCTCGCTATGGAACAGCACCATTTTTATAGGTAAATTCAGGTTGCTGAAAATCTGGTAGCAGGTAGCACAAATCGTAGATCGGGGATTGCAACCTTCAAGGTGGCGCTGAAGAGGTACCTGTCCCTACATCCTCATGATAGTGTTGTGATGATAGTGGAAGGCCATTCTTGTGTTTCACTTACATTAGTATAATATATATATACAGTAATATAGTACATTTACATTGGAATATTACCATTAGTATATATGATTCACTTTTCCTGTTCCTTTTTCTCGCTCATGTGAATTCTTTGATCAAGGTGTGAAGCCAGCGCATGGGTGTGGACACACAATTTGAAAGGGATCGTTGTTTTTTCACACAGCTCCATTTTTTGCACGGCTCTTTGGGACACAGCTTATATACATAATATTATATCATATGAAATAATATAATATGATATAATATAATATGGATAATATACATATACAACATTATACATTATGTCTATATATAATATATATTTATATGTATATATATATATATGAAGGTATGTATACCTTGACCCTCATCCATCAAGACCTCGCCTGGTCCGCCTGGTCCACGGTCAGGTGGTGACCCTCTTTGGCGAGGCCCGGGGCCTGTCGCAAGATTTCGGGGCTTCCTGGGTGGTTTTCCCCAGCTGGATGGTTTTGTTGTAGAAAATCATGGAACATCCCAATCTAAAATGGATGATACATGATTTATATTGATTTATCTTGGACAATCCAAAAATAAGATGGATAATGACTGGGGCTAGCCCTACTTTATGAACCCCCCATGTAGCTACATCAAAATGGCACAAAAAGGGATCAGACACTTGGATCATCCCAGTGGGATGACCAAACATGGCAAAAACCGCCAAATCATCCAGTTGAAAAAAGTATGTTCCATGAAATAAACCATCCATTTTATGGGGTATCCCCATTTATGGACACCCTCATGTATTTGCTAGTGAAAAATAACATCCAAATAGATAGAAGGAGTATGAAAGAGTGAAATCCAACTGAAATAGTGGTAAATCATGATAAATCACTGTTCTATCTGTTTGGAGGTTACTATATACTGTTTATAATATAATATATGAATATAACCATCCTGAAGTAGATTGAGTTTGGAATTCTGAAATATATTCCATGATATTCCCTGTTTTAGTGAGTTTTCATTATTGTCATTATTAATTATTCTTATTATGTCCCTTGTTCTATCCAGGATGGCTATATATACTGCACCAATACTTGAATGATATTTGATGCATAACGATGATTCTTGGGCAATCTTTCAAAAACTAGATGAATGGAATAGATTATAGAAACTCAATCATTATCTAATTAAACTAATTCTATGAATCGTCTAATCAAACTGAATGATTATAGAATAAGATGATGGGATTCCTGCGAGGCGGAAACGAAATCCCAAATAGGGGTAGTCAATGATGAATCCCAATTGCGAATGCTTTGTTTATTGGGTTTATCTGATTACTCCCTTCCTCCGGAACATTATATTTACAGGATATTCCATATATATATACACATACTGTATATATATATATATATACAATATTACAGTATATACATATACATATCTACATATACACTATATATATAATGGTATATATCCCATATATATATATGTATATAGATTATATATCACTCATGGCAAAAACAATGCTAACATCTACAAGGTGATGCAGAATGTGATCATCCTGTCATTCAATTTGCGACGGGCAGCCGGGCAACCGGTGCCGGAAATAGTGAAAAAGGGGTAATGTGGGTAAAACAATGCCATAAACCATCCCTCATCTCACCATTTTTATAGGTGGTATAAATAAACCATTCCCAGTCATGGGTGGTTTATGACATTGTTGTACCCACATCCCATGACGGATCCATGGTGCTGGTATATATGCTAACATGACTGGGGTATATTGATGGGATCCATGTTACCATATATAGCAGCACCATGGATCCTATGGGCATTAGCCCCATTTTCTGAAACACCCAATTCCATTGGATTTGAGAGTCACTTCCCCATTAGAAGTTGGCTGTTTGATTCAATTTGATGCCGTCAATCCCATCTGTGATTTCTGCAGAAATGTCCATATCCCGATAAAATCAAATTGAAACATGAGGTTTCCCATGAAAAATCCCGATAAAAGGTTGGTTGAACCTCATTTGAAGCTTCCCTGGTGAGATTCTCCATCCCCATTTGGGATGGACCGGACCCCATGAACTATCCCATGGGATCCATCATCAATGCTGCATAAAAATGGGATGCATGGGATAATAACATATAATAACTGTTGCATTACCATGAACATGTGGCAATAATCAATGTTAATCATGGGATGTTAACATTGCTGTAACTGTTTTTTCCCATATGATCAACTGGAGTGGTTTTTGCCATGTCCCAATCTTCCTCAGTGCTCAAACGACCGGCGCCCCGTTCGAACTTGCCATGGTCCTCGCTGGGGCGTCATGGTCCTCGCCGGGGCGGCGAGAAGTCGACGGGAGAAGTCACTGAGCTGGTGCAGGACACACGGCGAGCATGGGAAGCTGGTGATGGTATATTTGCCCATGAATGATATAAATAGAATCTGTGTATATATACATATATAATATTTTTATATAGTATTGTATATATATATGTATATAATATAATATGTTAAATAGTATAGCAAATAAATAGTGTATATATATATATATATATATATATACATATATATATTATATGATACACAAGAGATACAATATAATATATGACATGTATAATATATGATATATATATATATATATTTAAATATATTATATAAAGCTTAATACATAATACAATATATATATGATACAATAATAATGTCGATATATAATATACCTTACAACATATATGGATATATATATAATACACATGATACATGGAATATATATATATATGTATATGGGATATCATGAATTGATTGTTTTTTTCTTAGCTGCTAGATAAAATTGTATGAGGTACACAGTGAAAGGATCAAATTGCAATTACTTCTATATGGTACATGGATTAATATCAATCTACCAGCATTTATCTACTAGTAGCTTTAAATTGGGTGATTAAATTAGGTGACGTTTTCTAAAGCAGATATAACTTCCAAAAATGATCTGTTTTTTTTTTAGATTGGCTTCTGAATCAGCTTTATGAATGATAATTTTCAATAGCAAAGGCTCCCAAAATGGCAACCAAACTGAAGAAATCTAGTTGGGGAAAGGGATTAAAGGCCCCACTAGCCCTGTTCGTACAACCATGACCATTGAATACCCCATTCGATTTTTTCTAACCATCAACCACCAGGGATCAGCTGGGCCTTGCTCACGCTGTTGATGAGGAAAAATACCTTAATGGTGCCATTAATGGGGCCTAGGATCCAAACTGAAGAGCAACCATTTAAAAAAGGGACATGGAAATCCCTACTCATTGGCTTTTTGTTTAAGGGAACATTTGAAAACCGGAAATCCCTATGATATGGCCCTGATTTTCCCGACTAAACCAATCAAAATTGACCCTACTTTGGATGAAGACTCTGACCCCTCTTTTCTGGTACCATTTTGGTCTGTTCGCAGGCACGGGGTGATACAGCGTCGTGATCGGTGATGTCGACCGATGCCGTCGAACTGTCTTTCCAAAGAGCTTCGGTGCACCTGGTGCACGATGCTTGGCCGCCACGCCATGAACTACCCTCTGGTAAACTAACATAGCTATTGAAAATGGCCATAGAAATAGTGGATTTACCCATTAAAAATGGTGGATCTTTCCATAGTTATGTAAAAGTTTACCAGAGGGTACCATGACTGGGGATGGTTTAGACAAGACCATAATTCTATGGTGACTTGGGGATGGGATGGTGACTGTGGCGGTTTGCCACTGAGTCAACTGGATACCATGGCGACACCAATCATGGCGTTTTGCCGGAATATAGCCAGCCATTTGGGCGAAGTATCATGTGCGAAGGTGCCACGGATAGAGTCTGGCATAGCCGGCAGAGCGTCAAACGTGGCAACTGTAGCTGGGGAATCTTGGCTAAACGGGAACATCATCGAACTGCCACGAACACAGCAGAAGATAAACAGATGACAATTTGATCTTTGATATTACCCTTTGGTTATTTAACATAGCCATGGAAAATGGTCCATTTATAGATGGTTTACCTATTACAAATGGTGATTTTCCATGGCTATGTTAAATAACCAGATGGTAATGTACAATATTATGGCAAATATCAGAAGATCAGAATGTTGATTATTTGATAACATGTAACCACTTACAATGACGTACTGCAAAAGCACTGAAATTACCCGATTTTCCGCCTAGAGGTTGACGTTAGAGGGGCCTTCATTTATTTTTCTTTTGGCCATCGCGCAGGTGACGAAGCACTACAATATCCCAACCAGTCTTTTTTTTCCTAACGGCGCTCAGAAGTTAATCACTGCGACCCTACAATAGTGAATTCTGCTGTACATTACCCTGCGTAGTCCTGTCCTCAATGGCTTGAATACTGCCAGTCTTTGTATGGATATGTATGGATCATACTTTTGTGGGTCCAAAAAATGGGTTTTGTGCCCCAGATTGGATTCTCGATGATCTCCATCAACTTTGTAAAAATCGCGGCCTTGAAATGGCTTCAACCACCATAGCATGGTTGCTTGGAGGATTATCTAACCCTCGAAGTATCTCGAAATCCTAGGATGGGCTAGTTAGTCAGCAGTAGATTGATTCGAACACGGGGGTTTGTGGCTTGAGAAACAACTGGTTGGTGGTTGGTTTATATATAATGTTCCAAAAAACTTGCAGCTGCACTTGTGTTGAAAACACCAAGAGCCTCTGAATTAGTAAAGCAATAGTAAACGATCCCCCAATTTTACAAGTTTTGTGGGTGGCATAACCTATCAAAATAATTGGTATATTACTGCTTTCCTAATACAAGAATTGGAAAAACAAGTTGAGAATCACCAATTCTTTGATGAGTTAATTGGGTTAATCACGGTTAATCCTAAGTGAATCCCCTTTGTTTACTAACATGGTGACCATTGGATTCAATCCCAAAAGACATCCCATTGAATCCCATAAAACATCCCGTGAAAAATCACCATGAAATCATATGAAATCACCCGTTTTTATCCCAGTAAATCACCATTGAATCTCCATGAAATCCCATTGAATCCCGTTAAATCACCATTGAATCCCATTAAATCCCATTAAATCACCATTAAATCATCATTGAATCCCATTAAATCATCATTGAATCCCTAAGATTTTTTGGGTGGAACGTTGTCAGGATGTGAAGCGATTGGAAGACGGTGAGGATCTCAACGATGCCCTGTGTCCTGGCGCCTGGCCAGGCTGCAGAAAAACGCGATTGGATGTCCCATTTTAGTCTGGTAAATTATTGTAATAGTGGTTTAGTATGGATAAATGATATCCATATGTAATGTCTATATATATATACACGTATATATATATACATATATATGTAAATAATATAATTATATTATGTATATATATATCTGGGTAAATCATAACGACCTCACTGTTCTCCCGAACACTGGAATCATGGTTTTTATAGGGAAATCATCCCCAAACGGCCAAACATTTCAGATGTAGGAAACTCACAGTAAACGAACAGTTTGCTATGGAAAATCTCTGGAAAATGGACCATAGAAATAGTTGTTTTATGTTGTTTTACCATGATTTACCAATTACTGATAATGTTCCATAGCTATGTTAGTTTACCAGAGGCTAACCATATGAAAGATTTGGTGTGAATCGACCATATGTGAACCATATGAAAATTCCATAGATGTAATCAGCTACATTAGATGGGATGTTAATCACATATCAATATTATCTTTGGTGTGAATCACTGTATGGGATGTTAATATGGATGATGCTAATCTACCATGTTTATATTGATACGCCATCGGATGCTAATGGTGTTAATCACTATTATGGGATGTAGATCAGCCATATATTAACATCCCATAGATATACAATCATACATATAGACATATACATGATATTGTCGCTTTGGGTTTGTTTGAACATAGGGCATCCCAAACCCCAATGGTTTATCATCATTTGTCCATTAAAACAAACATAATTTGAGGCATCATCGTGTTCTGGAATCCCCATTTGATGGGTTTCACACTTTGATATTCTTTGATGGGTTTACCCTCTGGTAATTTAACCGTTTGCTATTGAAAATCACCATGCTTTTTCTATGGGTAAATCAGCTATTTCTTTGGCAATTTTCAATGGAATAGACCCCATCGACAAGGCAGAAAAAGCTCGCACTCGCGAAAGCCTAGAGATGCCAGAACCCGTGTTGCAATTTACACGCCGCCCAAGCTGCGGCAAGACCAGTGTTCGTATCAAGTCAAGGGCTATCAAGCAACAGCTTGACATGAAAGCACATATACGCACAGTGCCATAATTGCAGCAGTGTCAGCGTGTGCATGGGGTGGAAAGCTGTGTGCCAGTCCCTATGCCAACGGGACAACATCACATCAATGCATCGTGGTTAATATATGTTCCATCCCCCTGCGCTACATGGGGTACTAGTGTGTTCGCATTCAGACGTGCAAAAGCTTGTTCTCAAAGCTGCGAGGTTTCTCTTGTTGTTAGATTGCTTCAGACCATGGCATGGATCATCGCCCAACCAGTACTGGCAGTCTGCAAATAAATATATACCCTTCATTTCTCTTTGAAATGTGGAGAACGCCTCATGCCATGCTTCAATGCGCAAGTCGCCTTACCATATAGCTTCTGCTGCGTGGACAGCTTGGAAATCATTCCCTATGTTGAAGATATGCTGGGCGGAGTAGCGGCAAACAGAGTCACAGTGAGCAATGTGTTCGATATGCCGCTGTTTCAACACCTGTCACAGTTGACCCGCGCAAAGCGGGACGCCTACAAGGATGGGGTGACCTTGCTGAATGATTTGGAATTGGTGGAGCCTTCTTTCTCCACTCACGGAGAACACCCAAGCCCCACCATCAGCATCGTGCTGGAAGTCCTTGCGACAAGGCCAAAGAAGCACCCGCCGCTGCCACGCAGGGTCCTGCCCCAGCCAGTCCTGCCATCCCAACCACATTGCACTTTGAAATTCATCATGGCCGCATCAAATGATGAAATTGGTGCACTCACCGTGCCACTCCCTTGGGCATGCAATGTTCAAATAGCGTCGGTGCAGCTGGGCCGCACTATGGACTTGTGCCTGGCTTCCACCGACAACGGGCAAACTTTTCAGCACATTTCCCAGCTCCGGTTGTCGAAAAAAGCACCTCTGGACATAGATGTCCTATGTGTACAACAGACCTTTGTCAACATGCAAATGGAGGACCCCGCTGGTGATCAATTGCAAGACCTAGCCACAATCTTCGAGCGTGCTATGGACGGCGTGGTGGTGAACTACCCTTGGACCGGCAGGCGGAGACATTACAAAGAGTTTGCGGCACTGGCTGAAATGCTCAGCAACAGTGAAGAGCCAACAGTTTCAGCAAAGGCTATTCAATTGATCTTACAGGCTTATGCACAAGCTTGCAGACGTAGGTGCGATGGCAAGACCCCGCGTCGCCATAGAACCTGGCACGGGTGCTATCACGCCATAATCAGCAATCGGCTTGTGAAAAACGAGACTGCAGCCCGAGCACTGAAAAAGAGGTGGTGCCTGGCCCACCAGGATATATTGGAGCAGCTGTCAAAGCCCGTTGCTGCGGCGCCCGTTGATGGCACATATTTTGCCTGATTTAATGAGTAGTGAGTAGGGATGAGTAGGGCACAGCACTGTGGCACTGTGGCACAGCAGTTGAAGACCGCGGTCCATGAACCGAATCCTCAGAGTTCATCAAGGCTAGAAGCCTCAGCATCGCTCAGCATATTTGTTTTTACAGCATATGCATTAGTTGCTCCAAACATTGCTGCAACGTGTGAGATCACGTGCCGCCGTGTATACAGTAACACGCACACACGGCCCCCCCCCACACACAAAAAAACAATAGACGATGGTTGGCCCGAGAGCGGGTAGGTGGAGTAGCTGCATAGGTACTCAGATGTGTTATGTAGTTGTATGATTTGCAGACGCCAAAGACTTGCATGAATATGTTCAGGAGAATGCCACTTGTGTTCATTATGTGTAGATGTCAAGAGAAGGAGATGAGAAGATGTGAGGATGTGAAGATGTGAGGATGTGAAGATGAGAAGATTTGAAGATGTGTAGATGTGAAGATGTGAAGATGAGAAGATGTGTGGATGTAAGGATGTGAATATGTGAAGATGAGAAGATGAGAAGATGTAAAGATGAGAAGATGAGAAGATGAGAAGATGTGAGGATGTGAAGATGTGAAGATGAGAAGATGAGAAGATGTGAGGATGTGAAGATGTGAGGATGTGAAGATGAGAAGATGTGAAGATGCGAGGATGTGAGGATGTGAAGATGTGAAGATGAGCAGATGAGAAGGTGTGAGGTTGAGGATGTGAAGATGAGAAGATGTTAAGTGAAAATGTGAAGATGTGAAAATGTTTGACAGACCACCACTATTAGAAGAACCCTTCGCTCAGCCGCTCTCGGGAAAATCACATTCATATCGCTGTATGCTTTCTCGTGCAGTTTGCTTCACACATCATATTTCTCTATATGTTTGCGATTGCAAATCAGTGGTGTTTCATGCACCTTGTGTTACATTGCTTACATCAAACCAGCTCGTTGGATTGCGTTCTCTTGCTTTTCTTTGCCTGGATTGTTGTGCTGCTTGCCATGGGCTTTTCGGTCGTTAAGGACGACACTCAAGTGAAGAAGGCATGCCCATCGCCACAGGCCATTCAAAAACGACTATTAAAGCAAACGCCCAGTGCTTTACTGGAAAAGAAGCGCGCCTACCTCATGAGCAGCGAGCCTCTGGCTGTGATTCAGCAAAACATATTGATTAATTTTGGATCTCTTGTGCACACCGAATGTACACGGAATGAACCAAACTAGGGTGTTTGTCGTCTTCAGCCCACTGGCGCACGCGGCGCAAAACTAAGGAATCGAAGCTGGCACATGCACTGGCAAAGATGATTTGCAAGGAACTGCGCCGCCGCGAATCAATTGTGCTCTCTTCGGACAGCGGCAGGGAGTGAGTTTTGTGGGTCTTTGACAAGTGCTGTGGCCCCATGAGAGCCAATAATGAGAGGTGAACTTCTGCTGCGTTGCATATTGCCTCCATTTTCGCGCGGGAACTTGGCAGACTTGCCGTATTGTTGCAATAGTTCTTTTTCTTATGATGTGCGCTGATAAAGGTTGTGTCAGCTGAGCAACGAACGCCATCCACAGTTCCAGCTGAAGCCACAACCGCAAACACCGACTAGAAAACTTGTTGCCACCTGCAATTGCTCATGAGCAATGCCATGAACAACAGTTGCTGGCTGGATATTAGTCATAGCAGTTTTTGGATTGCAGCTTGTATAACGACCTCTTTCACATGTCCTGTGACCTCTTGACATCAACACAACCCGCGCTCAAGGAAAGGAACTGCGGCGAAGCTTGATTTACAACAGTCACGCGGCAGCAACAAGCAAGTGATAAAAGAAAAACAATCAGCATGCCACGCAAACGAAGGCGATCAATGAATTCTTTGCACGGCTGGCAATGCTTTGTGGACTGCTGACCAGCACAGCTACAGTAGTGATTACTTGCTTCGTTTTTTGCCAACACGCGAGAGCTACACAGACATTACCCAGGGCACAGTGTTCATCTGGGTTTCTGCCAAAAATTGTTCAATCCGCTTTTGTGCTTGTGGTCTCAGCTGGTCCTTTCTAACGCATCTCTTTGCTTCCTTGTTATCAGGCGCTTGCTCCATACGTGGTGGGTTCTTGGTGATTTGCCCTGGTGTGATGAACCAGTGCACCTGGAATGTGTTGCTGAGGCGGCGAAAGAACCCTTTGCAATCCATGCATATGCTGACATTCTTCCTACTTTTGCGAGCTAAGCGGGATGCTAGCTGCTAGTTGGTTTATTTCCTTTGCTTGGTGCTAGAGCCTATGGCGATGATTGCTCCATGTGCGGTGAAGCCTTTGTAAAATACCCTTGCGCGATGTTGAGAAGATCAGCGATGTTGTTGCCACAAGACGGCAAGTGCTGTTACATACCAAGGACCACCCTTTGCATATGCGGTTGAGGGTGTGTTTCTCTTCACATGTTGCGATTTGATATATCGCCATATTGCTCTTAATTCTTGAGCGGATCCTACTTCAAAACATTCAAAAACTGACGCGCTTAAATTAAGACGCCTTTAAAAAAAGCAAGTTGACAAAATGTATACGGCGGTGCAGCCTAGGTTATTTCACCAGAGGGTATATATCATATATGTGGATGATTTACCAACAGCAAATTGGAACATATGACGTAAAAAATAATGAGAAGACTCATCTGTGGTTCGGTTGTTTCAAAATGGGGCTTGGTTGGACAGGCTGTGGGTTTGGGTGCTCATGATCTCCTTGTTGTTAGGGGCTATGTTCACCAGTTACGAACCATCGCCATTTCTGATGAGAACATCACCTACAATGTGGGACCCGTGGGGTCCCCAGTTCAAAGTTGTTTGGTAAACCCTATGAACATCTATGAATAGTTATGAGTACCATAAACCATAATCATTGGAGTTATCAATTCAATTACAGTAATTCGCCCGGCAATTTTCCGAGGTTGGATTTCTTCGTGAAGCTGGGGCAAGCTTTGATCCCGAACAGGAAGGACAGTGGCGGCATCGTGGGCTTCAATGAAGGCCTCTCCCCGGTGGCCTACCTGGGCTCCTACTTCTACGGCATGCTGCAGAAGGGCCACACCAGTGATGGTCGGCAAGGTGGGGAAAGTCGTAGAAATTCGACAAAAAATCCGGGGTCGTCCGGGCTCAGATGTGGGTTCTGGAATGACCCATGGTTTTTCAGATGAAATTGGTCAAGGCATGTCAAGAACAGCAATGATCATCGGCTGATGAGGGGAAGACCCATTGCCCAGCATTTTTGGTGTGATCACCCAGGGGAAAATAGGGTTTTGACTGAAATCACACCTCATTTTCCCAGCAAAAAACAGCAAAAAATCACAATCTTTGTCCAAAAAAATAAGGAACCGCAAATGCAATGATTCGACGTCTCATTTTCCCATGGACAAACCTGTCATATCCCCCATCTCTCGCGGGGAGGCCATGCCAATGTGGCGAACTGGGCCAAGCGTCGCCTCGGCAAAGGTGGGTCGCTTGGGCAAGACGAGCAGAACCGATCGGAGCAGATGGGTGAGGTTAACATAGGTTATATAAGTATATATATAAGTAGGATATATCTGTACTTATGTTTACTATGGTTATAAATACTGTCTATATATGATATAGCATAGTAAGATATAGTAAGTATAGATTGACGAATATTAGTTATATATGGATATATTATATATACACCAACATAGGTGAACTATGATATATCTATACTTACTATGATTACTATATGGTGCACTATACGGTAACCATATATCATATATAGTAAGTATAGATACATTAGTAGGGAGGAGATGGGGGAAAAACCCAATAGTAGGGAACTTGACAATGGGGATATCATGGGTTTATAATGGGAAAAGCATCAATGGGAATACTTACTGGGGATTCATGGGAACTGGCATTTTAATAGTCGGTACCCTAGGTGAATTCTATGATTTTTGGTGCATGTATATATATATATATTATAATATATATATACACTTACTATGGTTTACAAAAAGTATTATATAACTGGGGGGCACCACCGTGTGGGTCTTATCATTTGATACTACAAGGGGATCTTCCACGGATTCAACCAATGGGATAACCATGGAGAACCAAGAAGTGACTGGTATCCAATATACCATTAGTATCCATTAGTAGGGTTTTCCAGAATAAACCATCCAGAAATCCATAATGGCCATAATGTAGATGGTATCTAATATAGATGGTATCTAATATAGATGGTATCTAATCTGGTTGGTGGTTTGGAACATGAATTTATGACTTTCCATATATTGGGAAGAATGATCCCAACTGACGAAGTCATACTTTTCAGAGGGGTTGAAACCATCATATGTCCCTGTGTCTTGAGTTTTACCGTTTTACCTGTGGCGGCCAATGGCAAATTCTTACTCCTTTTGGGGCCAGTGAATGCGGAGTCCATTCACCATTTCAGAGACACCCAGATCATATCAAGCTGCCCCATAGCTTGCAATAAATATCCCCAGCATATTCAGGTCCAAAGGCCAGGTCCCCCCTCCCGTCACTCATGGTTGGAGTCCCATGATATCCCATTATATCCCAATAACTTACAATAGTTCGGTAATATCGTATTGTACTTAACATCATGATTCATATCATATTATATCCCCGTTATTGTCATCGTACATTCGAACAGAACATGGATATCCCAAATTATGGAATATATATATATACATAACATAACATCTATACATATATACATATATATATATATTCCCGCACAAATGCACTGTCAGTTGTTAAACAGTACTGTTTTTTTTAATTGTTTTGGCAGTTTTTATCCCTTAAATCTCATGAAGTCCTGTCTTCCATCCCTTTTTTTCATAGTGAAATCCATGAAATCCCTATGAAACCCCAATTGTTCATAGTAAAACACCATGAAGTTACATGAAATCCCATGAAATTTCGTTAAAATCGGCATCTACATCGTCTTCGAAGATTTCGCGTCTCGCGTTACGCCCAGGTTATTTGCGGAACAGGTGGGCGCCCTGGCTGTGCCGGTGAACGAGCTGCTGAGCGCCTCGGTGACATGGACAAGTGACTGAGCCCAGGGCAGCCACGTCCAATTTATGTCTGTTGCGTTGGATAAAGAGCCAATCCAGTGAAATTATAGTTTTTCCAATAAGTGGCTTAACTGGCTTAACTATGGTTTATGGTAGAGATAAGGGGTTTATAAGTCAACTTATACTGGTTGGTGTTTTGGAACATTTTTATTTTCCATAATATATGGGAATGTCATCATCCCAACGGACTTTCATATTTTCAGAAAGGTTGAAAGCACCAACCAGAAAACCCATCCCAATAAATCACATCTTACCCCAAATGAATATATGCCAAATATTCCCAAATATTCCCAAATTACGAATCTTACTCTCTCAAACATGTTTCTTTTATCATGTGGATTAGATGACTGTCCATCTCCATGGGAGATTCGTCACAGCCCAGATGTGGCAAGGTCCGAGTGGTGAGATGAACCAGATCAGGATTGAACCACAAATGGTGAACTGCCCATGGCTTTCCACATCTATGTTACCCTCTGGTAATGACTAACGTAGCTATGGAAAGATTTACCATTTTTGATGGGAAAATCCACTATAAATGGCAATTTTCAATAGCTATGTTAGTTTACCAGAGGGTAAATTATTTTTCAGGAGGGTGCACTATACAACTCTCAGAATTTTTTGAGTGTAAGATTTGATCACCATGAAAAAACGTGGCACAAAACATTAATGATGGAAAACCCATGGGTTAATGGTAGATCTACTGGTTGGGTGGTTTATCTACCAACAGAAATGGTGACGTAAGCAGCTTTTTGGGCTTGTAAGCAACACGAATTGGGATTAGATCAGGGAAACAATCAAGTAGCCAAGATACCCTCTGGTAAACTAACGTAACTATGGAAAATCACCATTTTTCATGGGTAAATCCACTATAAATGGCCATGGCTTCAATAGCTATGTTAGTTTACCTGAGGGTAGGTCTGAAACCCGGTGCAACCTGGTCAATCGGTTCCGTTTGTTCGCGATGAGTTCCGTTGTTTTTCAGATGGATATTTTGTTTGCACCAATTGATAGGTGATGATAGTTGCCATGATTAAGAAAGTGTTTCCACACAAATACTGGTTGGTGGTTTGGAACATGACTTTTATGATTTTCCATTCAGTTGGGAATGGCATAATCATCCCAACTGACGAACTCCATCATTTTTCAGAGGGGTAGGTATACCACCAACCAGATCCACATTTCTTTCTGCTTTAATCATCCACAGCAGCAGGACTTTGTCCAGTTTTCGCCAGACCTACCCATCCATCCCCACAGGAGACTACATGGGCCGACAACAGGAAAAGTCGCCTGGCTGGACATGCAGAGTTTCATGGTTCAACTGGTTTAAAGCTGCTTAGAATATAACATAATATATATATATGTATATATGTATATATATATAATAATATATACATACACATACACTAATTAGCACTTTTTCATAACTGGCTGAAAAGGGATCACATTGAGTGGAGTTTGCATCTGTCCTTTTTTTAAAAGCGCAGCAAATCTTGCACGGCCCTGATGGATAGCAGGACTCCATCGAATGGGCTGATTTGAGGAACCTCAGCGCGAAGCCGTCTACCATGCTATGCTCATTGAAATTGGCCATTGAAATTGGTGGAAAATCATGATGAAGCAGTGGATAAACTTGAATCAAGTCTATTGTTCGAAAAAACCCGCGGGAAGCGTCCCATCTAAGCCCATTTTCCTGGCCAGCCTTTAGATTTTGGTGGCCAGCGTTTAGCTCATCCAAGTGATCTCAAGGATACATCGCCAGATTGGATGACTGGTCCATGGTACATTGGTGATCATCGGAATGGCCATCTCACGTCGTCACATTATGATGGCCATTCATCCCATGTCATGGCACAGCGAAAAAGCCAACCATAGCTAATCCATAGGCATCCCATCCTTGGAGGATCATCCCACTCGGTTCTTGTGGTTAAAATAAGAAAAAAACGTCAACGTTCGGTGAGTAAGTCTTCGAAAGAACCGGGCTATCCCATATCTAGCTGGGTTATTGATATGGTTATCAACCACTAATTAACTGGGTTGATCCTCCAAGAAAACGGTCCCTTTCCCTTTGGTAGATCTACACCAAAAATTTTGCCCAGCGCTTTTGAGTGGAAACTCATCGTCCAACCCCCAGGGTCGAACTGTTAATTCACTGACCCATATTTTCCATTATTTACCCATAATCCCTTTATTTACTAACCCACAAAAATCTGAATGTGAACATTTCATCCTCTAAGCCACCACGGAATTCATCGACGTCGCAGGCACTGGTGGTTGGCCCTGCTGGTGAATCCCCGTGCGCCGTGTCCCAACGACGGACCTCTCCAAGAAGCTGTCAGCGTGGCCTGGTCTCGACGCGGCGCAACCAGGGGTTTCCGATTCGTCATGGGAGTACCCCCAGTCATCATCCATTTACAGATGGGGTTTTCCCATGGATTTTCCTTAAGAAAAACCATCCAGCTATTGAGTATCCCCATTGATGGAAACCCCCCATATCTGGGGTGAAGCTACGTGGGATGAAGCTGCACCAAGCTTCAGGAATCTATCCCTGTGGCCGTGGCCATGATTCGAATTCCTCCAAGATGATTGCTTATTCATTCACTTGGAGATGTAGTACATGTACATATTTCGATACTTTTTGTATATGCAATATTATTCAATGTATATATATATATACGTATAATAATTATATATATATATAAATGGTTACTAAGAATTATGTCCAACAGCCATATCATGTTTCCTTATTGGTTCTCCCCCAATAAGTAGCGGAAACAATAAAAACTCCAATTTCAAATTTCAAGGTTATCCCCCATAGTTAGCTACCTTGATAACTACATGAAATGCTCAGTTTTTGCTGGTGATAAAAAAAAAATATTTACCATCTGGAGACTTAACAGAGCTATTGAAGATGGTCCATTTACAGATCATTAGCCTATGAACATGGTGATTTTCAATAGCTATGTTAAATTACCAGAGGGTAGATGGGTTGACGAAGCAGCCGAAATCATTCAGAGGCCTTCTTGTAAGTATATATATATAACCGCAATTCTGACAGTTATATCCCAACTTTTGGGGTAACATCACCATGGATATACCTATTTAATCATTCACCCGAAATTTAGTAGTGGATCTATTCATTTTTCGGGACTGGTGCGTATTTCATTTTAAGGGGATGGGATTATATCCTCAAATTAGATGGGCAATAAACAAAAGTGTATATAATTTACATCCATTTGCAGCATGATTGTCCCATGATTCTCATACATATATATATATATTTTTTTTTTTCCCTATATATTTCCCATGATTTTCCCAGCTTTTCCCTGGTTTTTCCCGTTTTTTCCACCGCTCAAAACCAGGTTTTTTCAACCTAGGTGAGCTGCCTGGATTCCTTCGCGCGCACGGGCATGCGCTACAAACCCCCGCGCCGAGCCTTGAAGGTGGAGAAGGACAGTCGCAATGAGGCTGGATGGCTGGGCTGGAGGTGTGGAATTTACTATGGTTACCCTCTGGTAAACTAACATAACTATGGAAAGATCCACCATTTTCAATGGGAAAATCCACTATAAATGGTCATTTTAAATAGCTACGTTAAATTACCAGAGGGTACTATTAGTACGCTACATATATATATAATATACACATGATATTTTTTTTGGATATGATCTTATATGATAACAACTATATATATAAACATCTCTATGATCATTAATATGTATAATTCTTAGTTATGACATATACCTCAGAATGACAATCCCACCTCCACCAGCCGCAAGGCCTACTTCGTAGAGGTGAGCAGTTTCAGCCGTTCGGGCTTTGTGGCTCTGATCGCCTTCCGCGCACAAGGCGCTATACGGAGAAGCCAGGGCGCTGGTGGTTGAAATCTTATGTTTATCTTATGCTTATCTTAGAGAAATGTGGTTAATTAATGTATATTAATGTTAATTATGGATATGTAATGCCAACAATCCTTTAGTTAATTATCCCATATTGTTATAAGTTATCTTAGATAGTTATCTTATAGTTATCTTAGACATGTGGTTACTTGGAGGTTTCCATAGTCAGGGGGATCCCCCTTTATCGCTGGATGGTTGATTTCATGGACGATCCCGCCAGTTTAGGAAACCTCCAATGATTACCCTCCGGTAAATTAACATAGACCCTGCCAGATAGGGGTTGGAAGACTAGTTTCCACTATAAATGGGTGATTTTCAGGGTCTATGTTGATTTACCAGAGGGTAATATGTATATATTGTGCCAGCAATCCGTTAGTTATCCTTTTTTATTTTTTTTGCTATGTGTGTTGGGGATGGGGTGCCATGAATGGAGGTACTTTGGATGTATCTGAAAACCGCGAATAAACATCATAAGACCCTCTGGTTGTTTCATATAGCTCTGGAACAATGGGGAAATATAGATGATTGTTTTTCTGATTTGATCAAAATAAAAACCGGCCATGGTTTGAATAAACATGGGGTATACGGTTGCCCAACAGTTGAGTTGTACCAACCATTTACCAATCACAGATGCTCTGTGATGTTGCATCAGAATCCATCTAGACATATAGCATGTGAGAAGCGTGATACCAATCATTGCCCAATCATAACAATGTGCAAGTCACTATTATAACAAATCCCAATCTTATGACACCAAATGGTCAAGTTGGCAGTTACGTATGGTAATGTAGTATGATAGATTTCTGTTTCCTATCTTTTTCAATTGTAGCCAAGCCCTTCACCATGGCAACATATGGCAACTATGTTTACCAAACATTTACATTGCAGCAATCTATCAACCGCTTGCAAGCCATAAACCATTGGCCTTGACCAAACATTAGCAGATCAACAACATCAACAATTCTTTGATCCATTTAACCCCCATGAAAAACCCTAGGTTTTTCACATGCTTAAAACGATGTGGACAACAATGTGACATGTTTCCCATTTAGAACATGATCTACATTCATGTTCTTCTTCCAACATCTTTGCTAATTAGTTGGCGCAAATTCCACTTACTAAACGGGGCTGATTGAATCCACTTATAAGTGGCATGAGCACCCCATGACCAGAACCCATCACTGCATGCAGGCGATGGTTCGCTGGGTCCCTTACTGGACCCGCGGCTCTCGCGCTTGCAGTTCGGACATCGGGTCGCTTGACCACAAAAAACCATTGGCCGAAAAAACGTTCGGAACGTTTGAGGTTGATTTCGCATCAATTCATGAAATTTAGTCAAAATATAGTGGGATTTAATGGAGATTTAATGGGATGTACGACTATAAGGGAAATATAATGGGAATACAATGTGATTTACTGGAGGTTTTAATGGAGATTTGATAGGAATATACTAGGAATATTATGTGATTTACTTAGCCTCGCTTAGAGGAATTCTGGATTTTTTTTTGGTGGTGCACGTGGCTTTTCTACAGGTCTAAAAAAAATATCTTCATGCCATGATAAACGAGGAATTAAAATATCCATGCATGTTTTTTCTTTTAAAACCTGGATCCTAAATTGCTAGTGTGCTGACCGTGCAACCCATGCGATCTGCAGATGACGGCCAAGATTCCACCTGATCAAGTTCGATGACATTGGAAAAACAGTTCTTTGAAAACTAAGCTGAACTTGCCGGTCAGACCCCCATCCCACCCATTCTTATTTTCCCCTGCCGCGCGTCAAGATGTACTCAACAAAACTTGGCCGAAGCAGCCAAGGCCGACATCTTCCTAAAGACTAAGACGCAACCTATAATATTACACAGCCGAAACAGCTGCTATACACCCGAAACAGCTGCTTTACAGCCGAAACAGCTGCTTTGCAGCCAAAATACGGCTGACTCAGTCCTCCAACGCGTCCCAAACATTTTCTTCTTCGTTTTTTCCCCTTGCTCCGACTCACCTTCTTCTTGATCCTGGTCCTCTGCACCGTCGTCTTCGCGAGGCCGCTTGTTGCCGCTCTTTGCTTTGGCCTTGGATTTCTGTTTTGCCTTTGGCTTGGACTTGGGCTTACTGGCAGCGCCTTTGGCTTTGGGCTTTGGCTTTGGTTTTGGGTTAGGCACTGTGACAGTCTCGGCCGTGCCATTTCCAAGGGCGGTGGAGTAGGCAGAAGAAAAGAGTGGGCTGCTGGGGTCCACCATCTCTTTCTGAAGTCGCTGCAGCATCCTTTTTTCAAGGGTTTTTGCGTGGGTGTCGTTGTAGCAAATTCCGCAATAGCCAAGTCGTTGTCTCAAGCACACGAACGCCAGCTTCCCGTCGGCGGGCGTCATGTCCACTACTCTTCACGTAGTATCCATGGAGAATCTCTTCCAAAAAAGCTTCTGGTGCGCTGTGGTAACAAAATGGCTCTGCTTCATTGTTTCCGCGGTTCCCCTGCTTTCCTTCATCGCCTCAGTTGTTTACCCGTCTCAGTATCACCATGCAGCTCCTTTTCGCCATATTTGTGTATGAAGCAATGAACGAAAGGGTAAGCTCCATCCACAGCGGTTTGGTGGAGATTGAAGTTGGGTGGATGTTTTGTTTGCCTGTCTGACAGGACGCCACCACAATCCAGAACCAGTACCATACTTGGCCGAAACAGCCAGCAGCTTCCCAGTCGAAACAGCTGGACACACCGGCCGAAACAGCCGGGAGTCAGACGCGATGTTTGAACTGGAAATGGCTTCGGACAATCAACGTACTGAGCTATATCGATACTAATCGGGATGGCGTTACGACAATTTGTGCTTTCTTCGGGGGATAATCGTTCATTTTGAGAAAATGGAAAAGAGTGCAGTCTAGTTCATCCAGACATAACAAATGCATGTCTCAAGTTCAGTGACTTTGATCAAGATTAGAAAAACTACGTAAATTCAAAATTTGATCAAGGTTAAGCTACGTAAGTTCACGGGTAGTCGATCTGAAAATTGTTTTTTTTGATGGTGGGAAAATAATAAATGTATGAATCTCGCAGGCTCAGGCGGGCAGTACCGCTGCAGACCACTAAGTGTCCGGGACCCTGTGTAAGGAGAGGTCAGTTCGCCCTCTCCGTACACAGTTCGGGGACGCGCCCAACCTGCCTAAGGAGCGGCAAAAAGAGGGCAGATGGTCAAAAAACCAACCCGCATAGCGGAATTTTTGTTTCGCCCTCTCTTTGACAGCTCCTTACACAGTTCGGGGACGCACCCAAGTTGCATAAGGAGAGGTCAGGCCGCCCTCTTCTTACACACTACCCGTGACCCAAAGTGTACTGCCCACCCTCCCAAGTTAAGTTGGCAAATGCTCTCGCCGAAATTTTCGCATAAGTGAACGCACTCTGTTTATGATTTTTGAATTTCATCAGGAAGTTAGTTAACCTAACGTTGGTCCATGTTATTATGATTTTGATGCACTTTGGATGCCTCGATATATGATACCTTTCGATGTGCTTTTTTGCAAGTTTCATTTTTGAACATACTGCTAAATTTCACAAACCAGGTTCGGTGAAGTACTTAAGTTTCTGCCTGGTACTTTATATATTTTATATAAAATAAAAAATAACAACCTATTGATTCCAATGATGCCATGTGAATGACCTCAAAGCTGAGCCAACTGCCTTGAGTTACTGTACAATTGATATGTGAAAAGTATATAGTTGATTTACTTGTGTGTGTGTGTGCGTTACAGTTTTGCTGTTTCACTCCTTCGACTTCTGTCATCAGTGTCGCACGGCCGATTCGTGTAGAAATTTCACACAAAGTTGATCTCAGCAAGCACTTGTTTCAAGTCAGCATTATAGATTTGGAAAAGAAAAAATTAAAGTACAAGTCCCAAAGTTAAAGTACAAGTCTCAAAATTTGAGACTTGTACTTTAACTTTCGGACTTGTACTTTAACTTTGTGCATGACATAATTTGGATAAAACAACAGAAAAAAATAGCTAAAAATCCTAAATCTGCCCTACAACAAGTCAAAGTACAGGTGTACTTTAGCTATTTTGTATGCAGATTTGAGAAAACAAGATTCTTTTTTTGTATTTTTCCCAAATTCTGTCATACAAAAAGTTAAAGTACAAGTCCCAAAGTTAAAGTACAAGTCTCAAAAAATTGAGACTTGTACTTTAACTTTGGGACTTGTACTTTAACTTTTGGCACATGACACCAAGGAATAGCTAGGTTTATGGCTGAAAAACAAAGCTACAGTTCTCATGATGGAAATGTACATTTGAATTCATTATCCAATGACGCAAAGCACGGGCTTGAGTTCCTGGGCAAATGATAGGAGGTATATTTCTCATATTTTATCATCCCTTGAAAGCTCTCTCTGCATAATTCAGGGCATGCCTGTTGAGGCAGCATATATATATATATATATATTTCCAAACCTCAAAATAATCATGGTTGGTATTTCTTTCTTATGGCCACAGTCTCCAGTTAAAGTACTAGGTTTGTGAAATTTAGCAGAACATACAGAAACATTTTCCAATTTCATCCATGCGTTAAATATATCAAAAACTTGTAAAGTCAATTTACTATGCAGAGTTACGGTATACCCATTGTATAGTGACAATTTTTGCACCCGTTCGGGGACATCCCCAGCACACCCTTCCTTTTCTTCCGGTTATACTGGTCGTTGCTCCGGCTGAAGCAGCCCTGTAGGGGAAAATATAAATTAACAGAGCTGCGCGTCATCTTATAGTGCCAAGCCGAAGCAGCGGGCGAAAATCCTATTATATAATAAATGCCCTGACAAAGTTAGATTGAAGCCGAAACAGCCTCTGAAGCCGAAACAGCCTGAAGCCGAAACAGCCTCGACCGTCGACAGCCCCTGGAGCCGAAACAGCCCCTGAAGCCGAAACAGCCTCCAGCACTCAGTGCACAGAAGATTGAACCTTTTTGAACATGTCTTCAAACCATTCCTCCCGCATTTTGGACCAAGTGAAATTGCTAAACTCATCTGGAACATATTCCAAAACGCTGATGAGCCGGATCGCCACTTGAAACTCCTTTTTGGTGAAGTCAGTCAAAGGAACGCGTCGTTGCCCCGGTGACATCTGTGGCATTGCGGTCATGAGGTGGCTGCTTGGGCGCTTGTCCACGGGAAGTAAACGAATGGTAGTCAGGATGTCCAAATCTATCATGATCTGCCCTGCCCATTCGTCGTTCATCTCCTTCTCATCAGTTAAATGAGAAAAGCACCAAAACAATCCATTTCTGGTGCACTCGATAGCACTGTCCAGATCCTGAACTCCAAACACTCGGGCTGGCTGCTCTTTCAAAAAGAAGCGCGTCTTGTGCGCGTAATCCAAAAAAGCAGCATCATTTGGCGTTGTGGCCGCCATTCTGTTTACTTCTTTTGCCCAAAGACACAGACAGAATCGAATATATTAGAAGGAACCAGGGACTGCAAATTATCTGGTAAATGACATGCAGAATGCTTAACAGGGTCAGGCCAGGACGACTCAGAGCAGTTAAGTTGAAACCTATTAAGTAAGTTGAGAGTTGCGAGCTTGCAGCCAAGAACCTGCAGAAGGATCCTCTGGGTTCAATGGGAAACGGCTTTGCCACTGTTCTCGCAGCCGCTCCCATTTAGCAGTTGCCGATTTCAGCAACATAACTCGTAAAAAAGGCCGAAGCAGCCTTTCTCTGATTATGGCTGAAGCAGCCAGTATCAGTAACTCTGCAACAGCAAACTGAAGCCAAAGATATGCGGGAGCAGAAAAACGAGAAAAACAAATATCTCCCCTCATGGCAAAACGAGTGTTTTTTAAGTTTTTGACAACAAATCCGAAAAATGGCCGGAGAAAAATTACAAAATTCCTCTAAGCAAGGGCAAGTTTATATACTGGGGGTTTAATTAGATTTAAGAGGACTATATACACATAATATCTGGGTAAATTATAACGACCTCACTACGACCTCACTGGAATCATAATTAATAAGGGAAATCATCCCCAAATGGCCTTAATTCAGGTTAGTGAAATATTATAATTTACCTAGATAATATATGTATATATATATATATTATATATATATGACTGCAATGTATACATATATCATGGGAATATGTGATTGAATGTGGATTTCATAGGATTTAACTGGATGTAATCGGAATATCATGGATAATACATAACAATCAACAAGAACTATCTGGGTTTGTGTGAAAATGGTGGATACCTAGAAACATGCAATGTTAATGGAAATACGGCTGATGATTCATGTTTGGGGTAACCTATCTTCAGTTAACACACGCTGGGGGGTGTTGAAAAACATCAATCATTGGAACCATCGTTCAACAAGATTTCGGAACATCTACAAAAATATTTGCTCTAGGCTCCAAAATCGAAAATCACCTGAAGAAATGGATTTGACAACGGATTTGGGGGTTCTTAACATGTTTTGAGCCTTAAAAATGGAGGTCCCAGTGAGGTAGTTCAGATTCCAAGCTTAACTTTGCAGATCTGAGGTGATCAAGGAACCTGAATTGGATTTGAAGGTTCGAAGCTTGGAAAACAATAGGGCAACCTGGAGCTGCCTGGTGGGCTAGAATCTTCTGTGGATGTAAATATTCATACATGTTATGGTAACATGTTATATATATAATGTTTCTACGTGCAGACGCGTATACATCAAGGATTGTATGTTCGTATTAGCATGTACTACTGACACCCTATATATATATATACATATACAATATGTATATAATATTTCATAAATACAAACATTATGCGATTTGCAGTTTGGAGAGGCTTTGGAAGATCAGGCGCCAGGTGGTTGACCATATTGAAGTCGCACGTGGATACGGCTCTCCCGGTGAAGCACTTGGGAAAACCTTTCGTTGAACTGTCCCAGTCATGACACCTTCGGTGAAATCTTCATGTTCCTGGTGCCCCATTGATTCATCGTTGGGTTTTTGGTGACTAGATGGGTCATAAACAATATAAATAATAAACCAAGCAATATCTCGGCAAGAGAAACCGAGGAAACTTACATTTTAGCTACATGTTAATTTGAAGCCAGGTTGCCTTTCACCACGGTCTTGTTACGACAACATCTCCGAGGAAACTATGGCGACCATGGTGTGCCAGGGGTTTTAGAGGGCACCTTAGAGTTCGCTTTCGATTCCTCCACACGAATCTGTGGTGAATATACGCTGCACTATGCGGGCGTACCTTGAAGGGGGAAAGGGGATGCTGGGGGTTTTAGGGGTGGTTCCCTATGTTGGGAGGTATGGGATGAATGATATGCAGGTAGGCTGCTTCTCTATATATATATATATAATATATATATAATTAATATAATTAGTGTAATACTAACAATAACAATAACAATAATATTGATGATAATAATGAGAATAATGATGATAATAATGATAATGTTAATAAATATGCAGACACATGACCAGGATTATATTTGATACTTGATTCTATTCACAGTTATAAGTACAACATGGACCAGGGAACAACACAAATCATTTTCAGTGTACCCAATGTTTACCCATAGCCCTATTGAAACCTCTACATAGAAGGACCTGAAATGACAGGCACGTTTGGACACGCCGCAAGAGAGTACTTGGGTTCAAAAAGTATCGCTCCTGACTCAAACAAACTTGTGAAAGAGCAGGTTGTGCATGATATTGTATATATATATAAGATATATAATAGATAAGATATAATATAATAGATAAGGTATTTGCTATTTTCTTCAGAACAGTAGAGACACTTAATCTTGCTCAGTGGATTTGTCTGAAAATAGGGTAATTACCCCAAAATCCAACGGATAATCATCATTGTCCTTTTCAAGCTGCAAATATTTGAGGATATCCCACATCTTCAGAGCCAAGTGCTCCTGCATGTCGCTTAAGTTGCCTTGACAGTCCACCCATGTCCACCCATGTCTTTTCAGGGTCCCAAACATATGTTTGCTATGTAGCTTATGGCTTACGTAGCAAACAGGTAAACCCAATAGTGAAGCATCCCCAGCTTTACCAGAAATGGGTGGATAATGGGTGGTAAAGATAAAGACCATACCCAGACTTAACTGGAGGCTTATTGTTAGTGTTACCACCATTAGTTGTTTTCCAATCTAGGTTCTCTTTCCATCCCCCTGTGTTGAATCGTCCAGCCCAACCGGCATACAAAAAAAGGGTTTCGGCACTACACCAACTACCATCAACTAACATCAACCAACATCAACAAATGACATCAACCAACATCAAGCAGCACTAACCTTAAACTTGATCTAGAATGATCTAGATCAAACAACGTCTCTGGCCTCTGGCTCTACGGTCCTCGGTCCGTGTAGAAACGCAGCGCTTCCTCGCTGAGGTGGGGGAGTATAAGCCTGCCCTGAAGTTGGAGCTCCGCAGAGAACCCAACCAATCGCAGCTGCAAGTCTCAAAGCTCTTAGGCCCGTCGAGAGACCAATTCGGAGATGTCTGGGACGAGGGATTTTTTCCAGACGGAGATGTCTGTCTATACCCTATATAATCTGTATATCATCTGTAAACATATGATGTTTCATTGTGAGATGAGTCAGATGAGAAAATATGCCCATGTTATCCGATAAGACAATGCACCTTTTTTTCAAGGTCCTCAGCGGATTCCTGGCATCACTGGTGGATTATCGTGGCTTCTCGTTGTACAGTTTCTAGAGTCATCACATACAAATCTGCTTGGTGGTTTCAAACCTGTTTTTTTCCCATAAAAAAATTGGGAATAATAATCCCAACTGACTACTGTAATATTTTTCAAGATGGTTAAAACCACCAATCAGCAATGGATGTTAGTGGATGTGTTTGGATATTTTGAAGCAACGGTTAGGTGATTTGGACAAGAACGGCTTCTTATGGCGATATTCTACAGCGAGATTCTGATGACATAGTGAATCAAGGGATCAACATTTGTAACCCAACGAACTTTTACATGACTTCAGAATCAAACATCAAAAACCTTCCATTTCTGAAACTCCCAATTAATCAACATATATATATATATATACATACATACCCTCTGGTAAATTAACATAGCTATTGAAAATGACCATTTATAGTGGATTTTCCCATGAAAAATGGTGGATCTTTCCATAGTTATGTTAGTTTACCAGAGGGTACATATATCAACCATCTTTCCCCCACCTTTTTTTCCCCCCCTTTTTTGTGCCACGGCGTTACGGCGCCGCGCCAGCCAGGCGGCTACTGCGGGAAGGAGTTCGAGCTCTCAGAGAGCGCGGGGAGTTACGGGGACGCCCAGGTGGCGGAGGCCTTGCAGCTGGCAGACACGCCGCAGCAGGAGACCGTGGCAGGGACCTGATGGCGAAATGGAAAACTCATGGCTGGGATATGAAATTAATTGAAATATGGGAAATTAATATGGGATTTCCAGGAAATTAATATGGGAAATGAATTCGGAAATGATATGGGATATAAAGATTCATGGAAAACTAATATGCATGGGAAATGAATTCGGAAATGATAGATATGGATATGACATTAAAACAAGATGAAGCCCACGAACCCGAATGCTCACACGTATGTTAATGGTACAGATGTCAAAACACATGGATATGCAGTCACGCACAATACCTTTCTGCATTAGTTTATTTGAACAGTCTTGTACATGTTTCCCTTGTTACCAGTCTGAAGTGTGGAGTGGAAAGTGTAGAGTGTGGAGCGTAGAGTGTGAAGTAAGGAGTGTGGAGTGTAAAGTGTGCAGTGGGGAGTGTAGAGTGTGTAAAGTGTAGAATGCGGAGTGTAATGTGTAGAGTGTGGAGTATGGAGTGCAAAGTGTAGAGTGTGGAGTGTGGAGTGTAGAGTGTGGGGTGAGGAGTGTAAAGTGCAAAGTGTGGAGTGTGGAGTGTTAAAGTGAGGAGTGTGAAGTGTGGAGTGTGAAGTGTGGAGTGTAAAGTGAGGAGTGTAAAGTGTGGAGTGTAAAGTGTGGAGTTTGTAAATTGTGAGTGTGAAGTGTGAGTGTAAAGTGCAGAGTCTAGAGTGTAAAGTGGAGAGTGTGGAGTGTAGAGTGTAGCGTGTGGAGTGTGGAGTGGAAAGTGTAGAGTGTGGTGTGTAGAGTGTGGAGTGTGCAGTTTAAAGTGTGAGTGTAGAGTGTGGAGTGTAAAGTGTAAAGTGTAGAGTGTAAAGTGTGGAGTGTAAAGTGTGGAGTGAGGAGTGTAAAGTGGAAAGCGTGGAGTGTAAAGTGTAAAGTGTGGAGTGTAGAGTGTATAGTGTAGAGTGTAAAGTGTAGAGTGTGGAGTGTGGAGTGTATAGTGTAGAGTGTAAAGTGTAGAGTGTGGAGTGTGGAGTGTAAAGTGTGGAGTGTAAAGTGTGGAGTGAGGAGTGTAAAGTGTGGAGTGTGGAGTGTAAAGCGTGGAGTGTGGAGTGTGGAGTGGAAAGTGTGGAGTGTGAAGTGTGGAGTGTAAAGAAAGGAGTGTGGAGTGTAAAGTGGAAAGCGTGGAGTGTAAAGTGGAAAGCGTGGAGTGTAAAGTGTAAAGTGTGGAGTGTAGAGTGTGGAGTGTAGAGTGTAGCGTGTGGAGTGTGGAGTGTAAAGTGTGGAGTGTAAAGTGTGGAGTGAGGAGTGTAAAGTGTGGAGTGTGGAGTGTAAAGCGTGGAGTGTGGAGTGTGGAGTGGAAAGTGTGGAGTGTGAAGTGTGGAGTGTAAAGAAAGGAGTGTGGAGTGCAAAATGTGGAGTGAGGAGTGTAAAGTGTGGAGTTTGGAGTGTAAAGTGTGGAGTGAGGAGTGTAAAGTGTGGAGTGTGGAGTGTAAAGTTTGGAGTGTGGAGTGTAAAGTGTGGAGTGTAGAGCGTAAAGTGTAGAGTGTGGAGTCTGGAGTGGAAAGTGTAGAGTGTGGTGTGTAGAGAGTGGAGTGTGGAGTGTAAAGTGAGGAGTGTAAAGTGTGAATTGTGGAGTGAGGAGTGTGAAGTATAAAGTGTGGAGTGTGGAGTGTACTGGAAAGTGTGGAGTGTGGAGTGCGGAGTGTGGAGTGGAAAGTGTAGAGTGTGGAGTGTGGAGTGTAAAGTGGGGAGTGTGGAGTGTAGAGTGTGGAGTGTGGAGTGCGGAGTGTAAAGTGCAAAGTGTGGAGTGTGGAGTGTAAAGTGTAGAGTGTGGAGTGTGGAGTGAGGAGTGTAAAGCGTAGAGTGTGGTTTGTAGAGTGTGGAGCGTGGAGTGCGGAGTGTAAAATGTAAAGTGTGGAGTGTAGAGTAAGGAGTGTGTAGTGTAAAGTGTGGAGTGTGGAGTGTAAAGTGTAGAGTGCAGAGTGTAAAGTGTAGAGTGAGGAGTGAGGAGTGGAAAGTGTGGAGTCTAAAGTGTAAATTGTGGAGTGTAAAGTGTAGAGTGTGGAGTGCGGAGCTTCCCCCATAGACACGGCGACGCCACAGGAAAACCAGCGACCCGAGACAAGACACGTGCACGCAGAAAAACCAGCATTTCGTGCGAGACTTCCTCCAATTTTGACATTTTCAACACGTTATCAAACAGCTTGGAATGTCACAAAGTGCCACGCCTGCCACGCAAAACGACATGACAACCTGCTTGGACACATTCGAATAGGAGAGGTTTTGCAGCTTCCCCCATAGACACGGCGACGCCACAGGACAACCCGCGACTCGAGACAAGACACGTGGATGCAGAAAAACCAGCATTTCGTGCGAGACTTCCTCCAATTTTCACAGTTGGCAACATGACAAAAGGACAAGTTTTGCAGCTTCCCCCATAGACACGGCGAGGCCACAGGAAAACCAGAGACGCGAGACGAGACAGGTGGGCGCACCAAAACGAGCATTTCGTGCGAGACTTCCTGCAATTTTCACACTTTGTAGCTTCAAAATCGACGTTTTCCTACGAGTTTTCCTTAGAACCTGAAAATTTGCAACCTCAAAATCGATGTTTCGTGCGAGGCTTCCGTCAATTTTCAGCACATCTCACAAAATGCCACGCCTGCCACGGAATTTGCACCTTGTCGCCACTTGACGCAGCCCTGCCAATGCGATTTACAAAAAACACGCAACAGGACACGTCTAAAGTGCTGCGCCTGCCACGAAAAATGACGATAGACACGTCCAAAGTGCTGCGCCTGCCACGAAAACTGCAACACATCTTCTAAAAACGTCACAAAAGTATTGCGCCTGCCACGCAAAACGATTTTCAACACGTTGCAAAACACATCTGAATGTCACGAAGTGCCACGCCTGCCACGCGAAACGAAGCAACGACACGTCTGAAACCTCCAAAAATGACCACCTCTGCAAAACTTCCCATAGGCACGGCCATACGGAGTTCGTACGAACGGTTGCGGACGGTTGCGGACGGTTGCGAACGGTTGCGACCGTGAACGCAACGTCGAGCGAACACACCCTCAACCCCCAGATCCCCAGAGTGAAACGGGAACCCTTGCTACGCATTCGGGAAAAACTCCATCCATCAATCAATGAAGCAAATATCAATCAAGATAATCGATTCAAGACAATCAATCAATCAAATATCAATCCAGATAATCAATCAATAAATAAATCAATCAATCCATCAATCAATCTGAATGATCATGTAAGAATATCTTAAGGTTAAGTAGATGTTTAGGATATTTTTAGTTGAAGATTTTGAACATTTGGGAGGTGTAAAGCTGGGAAAACCATGCCAGAAGCAGAGTAAAACTGAGATTTGGTCAACCAGTGCCGGGTCAGGTTTGGTGATTTGACCACCTTACATCTAGATGTACCCTCTGTTCCTTATTTGTTGGTGTATCCCCCGACACCAGCAGTAGAAATGTCGAGACCTATCAAAATCCACCATTTGTAATGATTCTCTGAATGAAACAACAGACTGTTCATGTTTACCTTCTACTTGATTCTTTCCCTGTATCATTGAATTGTTGCAGTTTGATATGGATATTCGGCTGGTAGCTCGGGCTTAGGCTAAAGAACAATAAGCCCCAAACTGGATGATTCTCTACAAAGAACGACCATATGGTACTCGTATGTGCCATTGCAGTTTGACCCCAGTTGTTTTTGTAAGGGGCTAGTATCAATAGGGATTAATGATGAATGTATATCAATTAATAAGGGTCATCAACCATATCCATTAACAATAGGGATTAATACCAGGGACTAGGGGCTAGTATTTAATCCCTATTTATTTGTTATTCATTACGGGGCCATGACAATCATAATCATTAATGATTACTGTATCTATGAATTCTGGAATCCCATTGATGGTGGACCCCCATTCATCCCACAATGTGGGGCTCCAACACGCATAACTCGTGGGCTCCACATTACATGTATATAATGATTAACTGGTGGGATGACCATAACCCATACATGATTTTACATGGTCACATTGTTGGTTCTCTCTCTAGATCTATATATATATATATTATATATATACACATATATTATATCATAATATATCATATATCATTATGTATTGTACATGTAGTATACCCCATTCATCCCTTGAATTTGATCCCAATATCTATCCCGTTGTCATCCCATGTGAGCCACTGGAGGAGAGCGCCCACGACTGCGGTTTCTTCATCCTGGAGCAGGCTGAGAAACCAAGGTGGTGCCCCAGTTCGTTAGCTAAGTTGGTGAACATAACTCCCATTTCACTATGGTTTATGGTAGATATAACTATAGTATTCATGGGGTGAATCTAAACCAACAAACATAACTGGGGAAAAACCATCCTGTATGTCTTAGGCTTAAGACATCATAAGACTAGTTTGGGATTTTCGATGTTTGCCATTTTGAAGGGGGATCAATAGCCCAAAATCGAGGAATCGATGGGAAGGATCGGGATTTACCCGCTGGTACCCAAGGCACTCAGTCCGTCCCAAGATTGCCATGGGGAAACCCACGCCGCAGATAACACAGCCTGTGTGCTGTCAATTGGAGAACAATTCTGGTGGGTAGTGACAAGACATCCATCTGGCAGAATCTGGCTGATGCCTCTCTATGCGAAACATTGTACCAGTTGGAGAGCAATTCTGGTGGGTAGTGACAAGACATTGCGGATAGCTTTTCTGCCCCTACGAAGGAGTACTTTGCCAGCATCGGGCAAAGTGTCGAAGCCCTTCCAGGGCGGCTTTCTCTCCAGAATGACTGCTGATGAGTCGTTTTGTGAATATTCATTTATAATTTATATATATATATATATATACATATTGGTGAGTAGATGGGGATCTGCCACATTCTTGCACTAAAATTCTTCGGCTTTTAGCAGGAGGTCAACAAACCAATAGGACCGGGTAGAATCGCTCCAGAATCTCCAGCGCCGTCCAGCTCCAGCAACCCCCTTGGCATCTTCGGTTACCTAATTGGGGTTCTATTGCTATAAGTTACCTAGTTGGTGGTTCTATTCTTTTCATTTTGTTTTTAAATCCTATACCTGGAATGCTGTCCATCTCATCTATCCATCTCTCTCTCTCTCTTTCCATTTGTATCAACGTATCCACCCAGCCAATCCAACAGTGTCTATACGCACTTATACATAATGTATACGATATATGTATACCCTGGCCTTCCAAGACTGCTAAATTTACGTGCTAGGTGCAGATGTTGAATGTTTTGGAAGGCATGTTTACTTGACCCTGCAGCTTTTTTATGTGTCCCTTTGAAGTTGTGGAGTTTTGTCCCCAGGAAAACCATTGACGTTTGGCGTAGAACGGACGAACTGTTTTGCTCAGATTTCAGGGTTGCTTTGGCAAGTAAAAAGGTTAGCCACATATCTGGTTGGTGGTTTGGAACATGAATTTTATGACTTTCCATATATTGGGAATTTCATCATCCCAACTGACGAACTCATATTTTTCAAAGGGGTAAGTCAACCACCAACCAGTAGTTCATATATTTCCACCAGAAAGCATGTGATACAAAACCATTCAGACGATCGGCAACCCCGCTGCAGCAAAGACATCCTCTGTTACTGTAATTACAACGCCTTTGTTTATTGAATGCTTTGGACCTATTGGGTATATAAATATAGTATATATTGTAATTATATGTATATGTATCCATATTAAAAGTCATGTAAAACAGATAGGAAATCCAATCTTTTCTACTCAAAATCATTCCAATTCAATCGAATCCAACACATACCATAGACAGTTCACATAGAACATTATATTTCAGCAGAAAACCACCTTTTTTATCATTCAAAACCACAGGGATCCACAGGGTCACAATAGTTCAGTTGCCTTAGAATATCCTGACATTCTTTAAACAAAAACGTAGGAATCCACCGTTCTTAAACACACTATCATCATCATCATCACCACCAGCATCATCATCATTATCATCATCGTCGTCGTCCTCCTCATCATCATCATCATCGTCATCATCATCATCATCACCATCATCATCACCATCATCATCACCATCACCATCACCATCATCATCATCATTATCATCATCATCATCATCATACTATTGTCGCTAGTGGATTATTCACCATTAAACAATCACCAATATTGGCCTCATTCACCAGTAATTATACTCACCACTAATTATTAGGAATTCACCATTAATTACCATTATAATACATATTTACCATGATATTCACCATTTTCACCATGATTGTCGCCATTATTGCCCTCAAAAAAGCCCTCATTATTAGGAATTCACCATCATATTCGCCATTACAATCTCCATATGTCACCACTATGAACCACTATATCAACCATTATGAAAACCATGATTTACCGTTGTTTACCCTCTGGTAAACTAACGTAGCTATAGAAAATCACCATTAAATTAATGGGTAAATCCACTATAAATGGCCATTTTCAATAGCTGCGTTAATTTACCGTTGTTGACCATTTTTTTCGCCCATGATTCACCATCAAAACCCTCCGTGCCGTGCCGTCGTGCCGTGTCGGGCGCCAGGTTCTTCGGCTGCTTCAGCTGAGTCCCACGGCGCTGCGCTCGCTGGCGTCCAAGTCCACCGAGGACATCGCCTCGTTGCCGTGGCCCTCGCAGCGCGCGCCGCGGCGGTTCGCAACGGCGTGGAAGGGCTGGGGAGTGGGGGCGAGGTGGGTGATTTTTTCGGGAAAATCATTCCAAACATATGGTAAATCATGGTTTTCATAATGGTTGATATTGGTAAATAGTGGTTCATAGTGGTGACGTATAGAGATTATAATGGTGAATATGATGGTGAATCATGGTGAAATTCACAAACTCATTAACGCATGGTTAAAAATATTCTTGGTTAACTATAATGGTGAATAATTTTGGATATACTAAATATAGTTGTAGAATGGTTAAAAATAATGGATTATCCCAACTACTATTTTTGATTGTCTCCAAAAGATCACCAAAAATATGGTGAAGAATGGTTCACCAACACACATGGGACAATGGGGGGTTCACCAACTTGTAACTTGATACGATGTGTGTTTTGATTCTGTTCAGATGTATCATGGTTGTTATGATTTAAAAGGATAACCTGAACTGAATCATGGTCTTTGATTGATCTTTGATGGTTGGTGGTTTAGAAGGAAGATGATGGTGGGTAAGAGTATCATGGGGATATTTCATGGGAGATGATTCAATGATATGGGTGTTTGTTTTGCCATCTTAATACCGCATGCCAAGAGATATTGGTGTGGCCATGATGAATGGGAGTACTTCATGGGGAAAAATATTGTGGGAATATCATTGATGAAATTATTGAGATTGATATTCCCATTCAAATCCCACAATCCATTAAATCCGTTAAATCCATTAATCATTCCCATTATATCATTCATGATATAAATCCCCCTCATTAATCCCACATTGATCGATCGAATTCACTGGGAGTATTTTTCATGACAAATCTGGGGGACTTTGGGGACCGGATTTCAGGTGTAAGTCTAGGCTGTCTTGATGATGTTTTGTTTGCGGGGGAACCATCTTCAAATGGGGATGAAAAAAGAATGTCATGATCCGATCTAGCCATTACCCTCTGGTTATGACTAACAGTTTGCCATGGTTAAGCCATGGCCCATAGAAATAGATGATTTTCCCAGCTAGAAACCTCCATTTATTTTGGGGATTTTCCATGGCTATGTTAAATAACCAGAGGGTATAGTCAAATAACATGAATATCCCGAGCAAATTGAAAAGTTAATTTTGATACCAAATCAGTTCGTACTACTGCAGTCAAAAAAAGTCAAACCAGTCAAACCACATTATTTGCATTATTGCTGCAGGAAAGCATCATGAAGCACTCCAATTTGGTAGCAGCACATATTTGTGCAGTGTATTTTGCGTTGAACCATCATCCCTGTAAGGTTAACACTAATATAGATGGTTTTAAACTTAATCCTCATTATCTCAGCAAATAGATGCTACCCCATATTGTGCTTTATTTAAAATATTTATATTGATGAAAATTTACATCTACTTAACCACCCCAAAAAAAAGTAAAGTTCCATATTAATTAGTGAGATATCAAACTTTCAATCACTACAAATGGGTTTGTTTGAAAACAGGGGACCACATTCCATCTAGTGATCTATCATCATGTTCCCTCCTTTTTCAGTGGCCAAGCATGTTGGTATACTCGATGGTCGTATCCATCCAAAAGCATATCAACATATCAATTTGGGTACACGTTCCCAGTTGGCAAAAAATCCCATGTTTTATTACGCTGAACATCCACGAAATTTGTAATCCGCACCATGCAGTCATAGTCCGTCATAGTCATGTTGAATAACACCTCCCCGACCTTGGGGAGTCATCCCCATCAAGATAACCCCGTGCGTCCGGTTGAAAATTTTGGTTGTTAGCCTCTAGTATAAACATACAAAAAACTATGGGCACTCATAATTTTTGATGGATAAATCAACTATAAATGGCAATTTTCAATAGCAAACTGTTAGTTTACCAGAGGTTAATCCGAATTGTGGTGTACCAATATGTTATGTTTGATGATCAAATTTTTATCAAATCCCTGTAGCTTCACTAATGGAAAAAAAACATGTTGGTACCAATAAATTCCTATTGTATGATTCAATCCCCAAACTATAGTCAAATACCACACAAAACAAATAGTTTCGGGTTATATTGCGTTTCACTATCAAAGATTGATTATTAACTATTCATAAATCGTTTTAATCAAATAATGACCTGAAATTTGGGTTCGTTCATATACATAAGTATCATTAAATACCATTCAGGCTATTCACACGAATGAGTCTTATGAGATTCATGCTTGATAGTAGAATCCTGTCACTACTTGATAGTTAACCCCCCCCATCCTAATCATATTTTGCCCTATTAGTGACATATCCTAATAGCCAAATCACCTCCTCCAGGCATTAAAATCCATAGATAATCATATTGCTATCCTTAACAATGATTTAAATCCCATATTGGAAATTTCAATCGTGAGAATTCTCTAGTTTATATTCCTCTAATATAGGAATCCCACATTTACAATCCCCCCAGTTCCTATCAATCCCAAAAAGATATAGATCCAAGACTTATATTGTCCCATTTACATGCTATATAATCCTTTTACTTTTATATTGACTATCCATAATTCCTATAGGGATTTACTTCTGTAATCCCTAAAATTATCATACATAATCCTTATTTTTTTCAATTATTAAACCATACTATAATCCCAACATGATGTGATATTAACTATCCACAAAACTCTAGTATAATATTGAATCATAGGAAATCCATACTGAATATTGACTTAAGTCCATGTATTAGTTATGGATTTCCTATAGTTATATATAGTTATACATTCATAATCCCATCAATATCGATTATATATATTCCTTAAAAATGATATTACGTATCCATAAATCCTGTTGATTTGAATCCCGTGTGCATAATCATCCTTATAATCACATGCATAATCCTTAAGATAAAAATCTGGGTAAACTATGACGACCTCACTGCGACCTCACTGGAATCGTGGTTAGGGGACTTATCCCAATATAGCCAAACTTTTCAGGTTAGTGAATTATTTTGGTTCATCCAGATATGATATGCTGGTTATAAGGATGGTCATTTTTGGATCCCAAAGTCAACTATAAAAATATGGGGGGTTCATGGGGTTTCCATAGTCATAGGGGTACTCCAATAGCTGGATAGTTTATTTCATGGAAGATCTCAATCCAAAAATGGATGATGACTGGGGGTACCCCGTATAGGAAACCTCCATATCTTTCGATTGACCCGGACGTCTCTCCGGTCCCAGGAAGTGGTGAAGCGCAAGAAGAAGCTCCGTGAAATTACGGCGGATCTCTTCGTAGCCTCGCGACGGCAAAACACCAGCGACTCGGTTGACGGTGATTTTCGTGTTGTTTACAGTAATGGTGGTTTAGTATGGTTTAGTGGCTATTTAGTGGTGGGTTGACTTTGAATGGTGATTTACTGAGATTTAGAGGGATTTTACAGGGATTTAGTGAGGATTTAGTGGTGATTTAGTGATTTTGATGGTGGTTTTAGTGGTAAACTAACATAGCTATTGAAGCCATGGTCCATTTAGTTCGTTGATTTTACCTATTGATGGTGATTTTCCATAGCAGCTATGTAAACGTTTACCAGAGGGCAATGGTGATTTTGATGCTATTGAGTAGCGATTTAGTGGTGGTTTAGGGAATTTAGTGGTGATTTCTTGGGATTTCATGTGAGTTATACAATGAAATATTCATGGGATTGAATGGTTGGGAAACACTGGATGGATAGTTTATTACTTCACATAGATCCTTACCCTCCAGTAAACAAACACAACTATGGAAACCATGGCCTGTGAAAGTGAATGATTTACCTATAATTTGATAATGTTTAGTACTTATTAAGAGTGATTTTCCAGAGCAATAGTGATTTTCTATAGAGATTTGTTGAATTACCAGCTGCTCCCTACGTTGCTGAGGTGATGTGGAGGCCAGATCTGCTGACCATGAAACCCGGGCTGTGTATTATATATGATTATAGATATAGTTACTAATAGTAATGCTGGATATTATCAATAGTAATATTATATTATCAATAGCAATATTAGACAATATATAGTAATATATATATAATAAAGCAATAGATTCAATAGATATCTCCTTGACACCATTGGGAGCACATTGTATTCTCGCCCGTAAAAACCGTGTGTCATCCGTGGTTTTCCACAACGTGGTGCCAACCGTTGTGCCAGGTGCTGTTGAAGAACGACGAGCTCCTTAGAAAGAAACTGCTCCTGGCGATGTGGGAAGGCCCTTACTTTGCCCGCGCAGTGGCCAATGTCATCTCGGCCGCAGTTTTCGCAGCAGATCTTTTTCTCTCCCAGAACTGA